TCACATACAGGCAGTCACACACACAGACAGTCACACACAGGCAGGCAGTCACACACAGAGACAGTCACACACACACAGAGACAGACACACACACACAGAGACAGACACACACACACAGAGACAGACAGTCACACACAGAGACAGACAGTCACACACACACACACACACACGGACAGGCAGTCACACAGACAGTCACACACACACAGGCAGGCAGTCACACAGACAGTCACACACAAACAGGCAAACAGTCACACAAACAGGCAAACAGTCACACAAACAGGCAAACAGTCACACACACACACTTACCTCTTTCCAGTGGATGCAGTTGGCTGATGGGGAAGCATCTTTCCCTCTTCCTGTACAGCAGGGGCTTCGGGAGGTATTAGCCCCGTCTCCGCCTCTCGATAAGCCACGCCTCCGCCGCTCGGTAAACCCCGCCCCCTCTGCCGCGATTTTTTTTTTTTTTTTTTTTTAAATAGACCCGGGTGGAGAACAATTAATCCTCCAGCCAGGTACCTCTTTTAGCTCCCCTGCGCTCCGGCTATGAGTGAGCTGTGTCGGCCACAGGGCGCCCCCTGTTCCATGGCGCCCTGTGCGGTCGCACAGCTCGCACACCCCTAAGGCCGGCCCTGCATGCACTACCCTAGTGTACCACCCTGCCACTTCCATTAGCTCTATGAAGCTAACGTAAAAGGAAAAAAAAATCCCTGGTTGAGTAGTTTCCAATTATAAAAGTACAAACCTCTATTGAAATCGGTACTTTTATAATCTATCATGAAAATGACAGACCCCAGACACATTCAGCACCGTGCATGGAGAGTTCATTTAAATGTATCATGAAACAGCCATGTACTTCTACTATTGTTTTAGAACTAAAATTCTGTAATAGTAACTGAGGGGAGGATAATATTCACAGGGAGCAATATCCTTTTGAGTAAGGTTTGAAATAATAATAATTCCTAGTGTGCTAAATAAATGCAAATAACTTCATCATTATCATTACTATCATAGTCACCAATGACAGAAAGACAAAATTGTTAGTTATGAATATACAATCCTGTTTTAAAGTAAATGAGGGACCGACCCTCTTCAGAATTGCTTTGCTATTTTCTCAGATGATCTCTGGGTTTCTTTAAAGCCATTAAATAATTTTCTGAACCTAGCACAGAGTTGGTGACGTCCTGTCTCATATTGAGATCCCACCAACATCTCCAACTCCTGGAGCTGGCATCGGTCATTACAATTTGCGGGTCTGGATCAGAGTAAAAGCCTTCTGGATGTTCTTGTATTGCATCCACCATCTCAATGCTGTTTTTAGATGTGTTGGCACTGAACAAAATTTTAGTTTTTGCACCCATTTTTCATGAGCTGAACTCAAATATCTAAGACTTTTTCTATGTACAAAAAAGGCCTATTTCTCTTAAATATTCACAAATTTGTCTAAATGTGTGTTAGTGAGCACTTCTCCTTTGCCGAGATAATCCATCCACCTCACAGGTGTGGCATATCAAGATGCTTATTAGACAGGATGATTATTGCACAGGTGTGCCTTATACTGGCCACAATAAAAGCCACTCTAAAATGTGCAGTTTTATCACACAGCACAATGCCACAGATGTTGCAAGTTTTGAGGGAGTGTGCAATTGGCATGCTGACTGCAGGAATGTCCACCAGAGCTGTTGCCCGTAAATTGAATGTTCATTTCTCTACCATAAGCCATCTCCAAAGGCATATCAGAGATTTTGGCAGTACATCCTACCAGCCTCAGAACCGCAGACCACGTGTAACCACACCAGCCCAGGACCTCCACATCCAGCATCTTTACCTCCAATATCGTCTGAGACCAGCCAGACAGCTGCTGCAACAATCGGTTTGCATAACCAAAGATTTCTGCACAAACTGTCATAAACCGTCTCAGGTAAGCTCATCTGCATGCTCGTTGTCCTCGTCGGGGTCTCGGCCTGACTGCAGTTCGACGTAACCGACTTGAGTGGGCAAATGCTCACGTTAGATGGCATCTGGTGTTCTCTTCACGGATGAATCCCGGTTTTCACTGTACAGGGCAGATGACAGATAGCATGCATGGCGATTTGTGGGTGAGCGGTTTGCTGATGTGAACGTTGTGGATAGAGTGGCACAGGGACATTTTATTGATGGCATTTTGAATGCACAGAGATACCATGACAAGATCCTGAGGCCCATTGTTATGCCATTCATCCACGACCATCACCTCATGTTGCAGCATGATAATGGAAGGATCTGTACACAATTCCTGAAAGCTAAACACATCCCAGTTCTTGCATGGCCAGCATTCTAATTGGACATGTCACCCATTGAGCATGTTTAGGATGCTCAGGATCGGCGTATATGACAACGTGTTCCAGGTCCTGCTAATATCCAGCAACTTCGCACAGCCATTGAGGAGGAGTGGACCAACATTTCACAGGCCACAATCAACAACCTGATCAACTCTATGCGAAGGAGATGTGTTGTACTGCGTGAGGCAAATGGTGGTCACACCAGATACTGACTGTTTTTCGGACCCACCCGGATCCCCCCCCCAAATACAGAAAAACTGCACATTTTAAATTGGCCTTTGCAACACATGGGCAATAATCATGCTGTCTAATCAGCATCTTGATATGCCACACCTGTGAGGTGGATGTATTATCTCGGTAAAGGAGAAGTGCTCACTAACACAGATTTAGACAGATTTGTGAACAATATTTGAGAGAAATAGGCCTTTTGTTTACAAGTCTAAGATCTTTGAGTTCAGCTCATGAAAAATGGGGGCAAAAACAAAAGTGTTGCGTTTATAATTTTGTTCAGTGTAGAATGTTTGGTAGCTATGAAATGTGGGGAGGGAGGCAGAATGAGATTGAATAAATGTGAAAAATATAATGGAGTATGTAATGGATGATTAGGAATGGGATGGAGGATGTAACAGCAAAAAGATGATATGCAGTAAGGAGAGATCTGACATAATTGTTAGAAATATAATGAGGGGAGAATTATAGAATTGCGTGGCATTAATGAGGAGAGACATGAGAATACAGAATCTGTTGGCACTATATAAATGGCATTAATAATAATGATGGTTTAGTGGAAGTTGCTTGTGAAGATTCTTCGGATTATGATGCATGGGACATGCTAGGGAGCAAGGACAGCAATTTCATTTTAGAGGGAAATGCGAATTAAGACAGATATGGGATGGGCAATGAGAGACCTCTTTAAGAGTTGTTTTATGGAGCTATATGTTGCTTGTGCAGTGCATTCTTTACATCCTCACAGTCCAAAAAGTAACATTTGTACTTTTCTGATTAGGCACAGTAAGTTTAAATCCTTAAAAGTCTAAAGCAGGTATCATATTTTGGTTTTTATTTGTTCTCTAAGTGGTATTTGTGACAGACTCTCTGGTCACCTAAGCAGAATACGTCTCCCCAACCCTGCTTACTAGCCAAACATTCAGAGTGCTCCTGGTAATTTTCTCATGATTTGCAAGGGCTGTCAGTGTGGAAAAGCCTATACAAGGGTTTTCCCCGCTAAAAGCGTTCATTCTGTGTCAAACACTCCATGGGTGAAGATTTTTTTTTTTTTATATTGTGGTGGGATCTTTTATTTGTTTGGGCGCTTTTTTTTTAATTTTATTTTTTTTAATAATTTATGGCATCTGTTATGGGTATTTATTTGGCCTTTTTCGGGAGTGAAGAATTAAAAGAAATAAGACTTCCGATAAGTAAGTAAATGTATTTATTTTTACAGGTTTAAGATTTTTTTTTGGCCCTTAAAAACTATTATGGTGAGGGAGGGAGGGAGTGTGGGTAGGGACTTTATTTTATAACTAATTAGGGTCCCCAGCTGCTAGAATTTCTGGGGGCCAGGGGAGGGGACAATAGGTTCCCTTCCCTATTGGTAATATTAGGGCCCCTATCCACAGGCATGGGTGGGGGCTAAAGAAAGGGTCAATAGGTCCACGTCCTTAATATTTAAAGTAGCTCCCAAACGATTTCACAGGCCCCATACCCATGAGGACCTTTTCTAGCGACTGGGCAGCAATGACTCTCTTGTCACTACTTTTCAGTTTAAGCACACATTTTACAACCTCCACTTTAGCAATATAGGGGTCTTATTGACCCCCATATGATTTTTATTTATAATAATTCTATTTATTTTTTTAATGTGGCGGCTGGCTAGCAAGTTCTGACCAGCCGCCACGTAACTAACACTAGCGCCAATAAGTGCTGGTTTGTTTTTTAACTATTTGCTAGCAGCCAGGGGGCAGGAAGTTTTTTTTTTGTTTGTTTTTTTTATCCGGGCCTGGAGTTAAAGCCTCCGGGCTGGATTTCAGCTATCCAGTGGCGGTCAGTCCTGACAAAACTCAGATCTGTTTGGGGCCTGATTTACAAAATCCAGACACTGATGGATTTCATCAGCAATGTTCAGATTTTGCAGTCCAAAAGGACCCGTACAGCAGCGAATTATTTTATTTAATTTTTTTTGGCGATCTTTATTTAAAGACGTTATCAACAACATTTTCTTGAAGCTAGATGTACAGTAGTGGAAACAGGTAAGTAGGCCTACAACAGCTATAATAGTACAGAAGTATTACAACACAGAAAAAACACAAGTAGTGAGCGTGACCGTAGCAAACCTCAGTAAAACAAGGCTGCCAGATCCTTAACTCGTTTGAACTATGCCCAAGTGAGTAAACTAGATGAGTACCATAAGTGTAGTCAAGTGCCGTGGGTTGTGAGCATGTAGCATGTGTGAAAAGAGTAGCAAAAGGGTTGAGGAGAGGAAGTAGTCTTAGAAAGAGAAGCGGAGGGAAAGAGGGAAATAAAATAGGGGTTGGAGGTTTGATTGGATCAGGCAGGAGATGAGATTCGTGTTCTGTGTTTCTCTGGTCTAGTGGGACAGGGGGTGATGGTTTACAAGTATCAGTGGCCTTCCGGGAGATGTAATCCAATCAGGGCATCCAGGTCAAGCTATATTTGTCAGAAGTGCTCCTAAGGGCAGCGTTCAGGGATTCCATTTCGGAGATCTGCTCCACCCTCCTGACACCATGCTATACTCACTGTAAAATGTGTAGTCTTTTCTGACCCTGTAGGCTTCATTTCATGACATGCATGGCAAAGGTTTTATAGGATGGAGAAAAGATATGACATGCATAGTGTTTTACCTCACATTAAACTGATGCACAAACATGATTCACATTGCTTACAGTTTACGGTCATTAAGAGAGTCTACAAAACCAGGTGGAAAGAAATTTTGTATTTAACCCCTATAGGACACATGACATGTGTGACATGTCATGATTCCCCTTTATTCCAGAAGTTTGGTCCTTATGGGGTTAAAGAAAGTGAGCCAACATTTAAATACAATACTATGAGAATCCACATGATCTCAACAGCAATTTGGAATTGACAATTACTTTAAATATCCAATTTGTTTTTTGTTTTTTTTTAACAAAAAAACAAACAAAACACATGCAACTAGATATTCACAGATGGGTATATTTTAATTTTAAAAAAATGCACAATTAACACTTAATGGAATCACACATTAGCATATTGTTTCTTTAATAATGTTTCAGTTATAGGTCATGAGGCAATTTGTGAATTGTATATTCTTCCTGTAAGTATTTGTAATTTATCAGGTTGAATTAAAACTAACACCAGCGCCTGCATATGTATGCTATGTATTTCCTGAACCTTTAATTGCTACCTAACACCTAACTGCTATGGAAAGTTATCATGTACTCAATATGTAGGTTATTGTATGGTGCTTATATGGGGTCATCACTTTCTGTGTGATGCATAACTAGAAGCGAGGGTAAATGGGAGATATTTCATACATTATCATTTTGTATTGTTAATTAGAGATGTGTCTTCTTGACAATGTATTATGGACAGTTTGCTGGAACAAAATGAGAATTCAGATGGCTGAGATGAGATAATTACCTCAAACACCCAAACTATAATACCCAAATACTCCAAATAATAGAAGCCTTACCTTAACTGTTCAGATATCAGTGAACTGTCATTTGCACTATGATCATCAGTATATCCCATTAGCAGGTATGACTCATCTTCTTTAACCTGTGAAACATATGACTATTTTATAAAACATGGTTATTATACTTTTGCCTCTATATTTCAATAAAATAAAGAAGTAATTCCAATGTCCCTGCAATGATTCACTAACTCTGCAATGATTCACTAATGGAAGGGGTTAAATATTTACAATTGGTTAAATTACAATAACCCAGGTAAGTACATAAGTGAGTCCATTCCCACCAGGAGTTATGCAGAACACCTTTTTAAGTTCCAGATCCAGGTCCTATCAGGAAAAAATTATGTAATACTGGTTACCAAAATAAAAACGAAATGAAAGGTCTTTGAGGAGTCCCACCAATTGAATTTATCATGCACACATGTAAGTGCTTTTCTTTTTTAAAGGAATCATGTAGTCCTAACATTCGACCATCCCACCGTGGAGATGAAAGGTTTTTAACTTGTCTTTTCTCCACTGTTCTGCAGGTCTGGCAACAGCTGGCCCCGCCTCCATGGCTGAGATCATCAATCTTGTTAATCTCAGGCAATATAATGATTTCCCATAGGAAAGCATTGGGAGGCTATTGAGCATGTGGGACTAAATGTTACACTGCACCAATCAGCATCTCCTCAAAGATATGCAATGAATCAATGCATCTCTATGGGGAACATTTAGTGTTGCTCAGGGCATTATCCCTCTGCTATATGGCAATATAGCACACTATTTTACGTGTAATGCACCAGTTACAATCAGTTGTGTTGATTTTTGGGTTTCAAAACCTCTTAAATAGAAAGGCATGCAAATATAAAATATGCATACCAATATTTTTTCTGGCTTCTGTTAAATTTTCTCACTGATTTTCAAAACAGAATGTACCCGTCATGGTTGATTATATATTTCTTACCTGTTCTATCTTAAATTCTATGTATGTGTTGTGTATTAATATTGTTTTTGCATTTTATTGTACCCCATTGTAATGATGCAATGTTTTGTGAACCCAGGACATACTTGAAAATGAGAGAAACCTCAACGTATCCATTCTAGTAAAATAGTTTATAAATAAATGTATATTTCTCTGTGTGTATCATTTAAAATATACTCTAAATAATGCAAGACTGACACAGATTTAATCATCTTCAAGTACAAAGTCTTGTGAAAGTTGTACATATATGAGACCTCATTTGAGATATCTATAGCTAGCAAGAAAAACAAATATGTAACTTGTGAACGAATACTGAATGGAAATGAAGATTATAATAACTGGGTACAATAATTTTATTGTTGTTTGTTAAATGGAGCTGACAATCAAAACTTGCTTTATGTTACACACAATTTATTATGTTATTTCAGTAAATTAAATTATTCATTGATGTAGGTTTACAGCAGCTATCCTCACAAAACCCCAAGTGCCTAGGAATACATCTTATTGTTGCAGTTTGTTTATGCAATGGCCACCACAAGTGTTTAGCATGGACCAAGACTATGAGATACTCAGCACAGCTCAGGACTTTTATAGAGCACACAGACAGAATTCAGGGTGACTGAGGTATAAACCATTAAAATGTTGAATAATTGCCAAACACTGCGGAGAAGACACAGAAATTTGAAACATGTCCAAAAATGACATTGTAAAATAATTGCAAATTAGGAGAATTTTTTCAATATAACAGTTTTTCGCTATGTGAAATATCTTGGTAAGCGCACGTTCTACATATTTTGCTCTGTGAGTGTCACAAGACTGCCTTACTTTGGATGATCTAAATATTATTTTTACTTTGATGCTTTTTTTTATAGTTTCTCTCTATAACGGCCTTTCTTTCAGAATGTCACTTCCTAACTGTAAGCCTGGCTCTGGTGTTTGAGGATACAACATTTTATTAAAATGTGCTGATTTGGAAACTCCAATTCAAATACAGTCAAAGCTTGGACATGTAAACCTAAATATTGCTATATGAATTTCAGATTACTTCAATGAGAGGTTTTATAAATAAACCTTAATATGTCTAGTGCAATTACTTTTCAAAACATCAAAAATTTAAATTGCATACATTTGCCTAACATTTAAAGTTTAATTTATGTTTACATTATTTCTTTAACACCTCATATGTGTGAAATGGCCATCTGTGGATGACATCAGTGGTGTCCCATTAGGCACACATACCTTCAGTGATGTCACGCTGTCTTTATGAAGTCACTGACTAACCCTGTAAAAACCTAGCACAGCTTAGTGTCTTAGCCAGTCTCTACCTGACTTTCACAGAGGAAAGACATATACACACCGAATTCAAAGTAAGTGGGGAATAAACTGTTAAAGGTTAATATTTACCAAATGTGGACTTTTGTAGAACTCACAAAGGAATTTTAAATATTTGTTCGAAATAGAGAGGGTAAATATTATAGAGAAATATGACAATTTTTCCAATGTAACTTTTTATTCTCGAATGGGAAGTTTCCTAGTTAATTCATCTCATGGTCTTTCTGGTCTATATACCCTCTGGGTGTCATAAGAATGCATTATTTTGTTAGTATAAAACAATGATCATCTTGATGCTGTGTTGCAGGGTCTTTCTTATCATTTCTTCCTAAAATTGTGTCCACCTCTCCACGTCTCCCTTTCAGGTTATGCCACTGCTAGACCGCCACGGTCACTTCCTCACCGTAAGTGTCTCTTTGGTGTTTTTTTTCACTAAACCAGGCTTTGTAGTATATTGAAAGTCCAAATCAATACATTTAGGTAAAGTGCTGATTGAAAACTTTTTCTGATTATACTATAGTCATAGCTTGCTTGGACATATATGCCTAAATGTTGCTATTAGGATTTTAGATCACTTCAATAAACTGCTTTGTAAATGAACCCCAAAACGTATAGTGCAATCACATTTTATGAATACAATTAAAATACACTAGAGAGCACACCAAAACACTATAATCACTTAAAACTATTGTAATATCAACGCACACAAATACAAATAATTTTTTTTTATCCAAGATCAACTTCTGCACCAACTGGGGATTATGTGGCCTATATTTAACTTTGTAGATTAGTGGTCTTCTATCTTTCACCTGGTACCGAGACCATTGCTTTGCATGCTTATTTCTATTTTACTACTCTTGCTTAGCTGCATTTGGCTAACCCATTTATGTGGAGATGGTGATCTAGTTTCCATGGTTTCATTTGACACCTTTCACAACGAGGCTGCCCTAGTACACCACTGCTCACGCCTAGCTAAGTTTCAGAGATCCCACTTGAGATCCATGGCTTTCTGATTACACATTGACTAACAGGGACCTTGTACATTCCATACTGTGTATACAATAACAGGTGTTTCCAACTTTTTTAAAGTATACAGCGGCACAATTATCGTACAGATCCAATCTCTGCCTGTTTAGTTGTTTTAACAATACAATAGCAATACAATTAGAGATAATTTGATTATAGTCTTTATTAGTAATAACTGGACATAATAATAAATAACCTGAAAAATAAAGAGTACTAAGCTTGATATCATACATATGACAGGTTACTCTCTATATTAATGAATTTAAATTAAAGTTTATATCACAATAAAGGATATGTCTTAAAGGATAACAGCAACTCCTTATATTGAGACACATTAGATACTGAGTATCTGTGCTTAGATACTTGTGGTTAATGTGACGATACTCACCATCACCTGGGGATTCATATGGACATTTTATTTCACCCTGTACCCTTTATAGATGCAGGCTGTATGTAATGAAATTGTTTAAAATGTGTGTGTGTATAATGTTAAATATTTTGCCCGCTCTCCTGTAATGCTAAGGATTGCTACCATCTAGGTGGATTTACCTATGGAGCCTGTGTAGTGCCCTCTTGGTAGCAACAGCAATATGCACTACCTAAATAGCAAAGCTGGTTGATTTGCATATTGCTAATCCTGAAGGTAGGAGAGATGTTTTCTGTTAATTATTGTCTTCCCCATCCCTCTATAAATATGATATTATGCTATGATAATATCCTGTATATTTTGTGACATGTTTGGGTTATTTGAATTTTACTGTGTGTGTCACAGCAATCTAAATGTAATGATCATATGGGCTAGTTTCTTGAAAAATAAAGTTTTGTTTGTCGGTTCCTTTTGGAACTTGTGTCTGGTGTGGATTTGTAAAGATCCCAGTCACAGAGTCCTTGGGCCTGTCTGCTGGTTGCAGGATCCCTCTAGCCCTGAGATAAAGCAAGAGAGCTCAGACTAAGAGCCTCAAGTGCCTTTGTAAAGGCAATAACTATAATTACCATAAGCAGAGCGCCAGAGGAATAGGCAGAAGGGATGATACCTGCCTGGAAGGAGAGCTCCGCAGAGACCCCAGTCAAGCTTTGGCGACTGGGGCTGAAGCGTTCCAGGGTTCCTGCAAACGGCTAGGAAGTGGACAGGGTGGAGGTACTCGGTCGGAGCACAGGAGCCTAGGTATATTAGCACCCCAGGGGGTCTCCTGAGTGAACAAAAGATTAAACAGCACATGTGGTCCTCAGTTGTGGTATATTCCAAGAAACTAAAGTTGTTGTAGTACCAATCCACTCTCCTTCATTGAAAACCTAACAGCACAAGCTATCTATACCATAAAATAGTTTACTCTTAGTAATTGGCTTTTAGATGTCTATGGTATTGATTAGACTGTAATTAGTTCATAGTGCAAAAGTGGCACTATACAAATCAACATAACAGTAATAGAGCCATGCAGTCAAATATATCAGATATATGGGAGGGGTTCAAGATAGCCAGCAACATGTATTTAATAGACAATATAAAGCTAAAGCTAATCCTCTTAAACCTCCCTCTATATGTAGATCACGCTGCATCACAGCAGTCCCCCTAGATCTAGCCTCAAAAGATTATCACTATCAGCATTCCATTGGTCTCAAAAATAAAGGATTCCTCCTAAAAATATAAGAAATCAGCATCAGCTCGACACACGTTTTGGTGCAATATCACGCCTTTATCAAGAGCAGCAAGTACCTCAGGTCTGGCTTTTTATGGGGCAGGGGGCTATCGTTTCAACTTCACCTTCCTTACTTGAGGAAGGCACTTTCTTCAGAGGGGCCGGATTATGACTCCTCCCTCCTTGAATACTGCAGCATATGAGAAAATTTAAGCTGCATCAAAATAAAGGAAGGATGAGAAAGACGAGTCTTACCAGGTTCAATCAAATCGACAAACACATAATATATCCCTTTGGGGGGGTGGAGCTAGCCAGCGCTCTGATTAGACACATGTGTCCTGAGCTCCGGCCACCGGACTTCACTGAAGCGATACCCAGCCACAAAAAGCATCAACTTCTGGCTTCTAACAACACCACTAGATGCAGAAAGTCATGGGGAAACATTCTAGAAAGTCTTGAGGGTCTGGCAGGGGACAAAATCGCGAAAAATGGATTACTCCTCTCACAAACCCAAAGATGGTAGACGCACTTCCAGACCTACATGGTGGATTCTCCTCAGCCTCTGACAAGAAAGACCAGGAGGAAGAAGAGCTACCTCGGCTGCTGTTTGCTATCTGTCAAACTGTCACATAAGGTGGCTAAAGGCCTAACCCTGGATGGATGACCTTCCACCAAATCATCCCCCCCAGGGATGTCATACTCTGCTTTCAATCACGGGACAAAACAGAAACACTTATGGCAGCAGTCAAGGGACAAGTGCCATTTATGTTTGAACAACACTCACTACGTTTTTACCACGACTTTAGTCGACCGATACTACAATGGAGGGATTCCTTAAGAGAATGGACCACTCAGTTGAGAGCAGCAGCTGTCCCATACAAGTGGGGGAACCCACGAGCCCTTATTGTGGAGAAGCAGGGCATGAGATACAGACTGACCTCAATGGCGAATGCAAATACATTCCTGCAATCACTGAGACTCACTATGCCAGACGCGGGCCAATCCACCGACAGGGGGAGGAGAAGGAGGACAGGGAAAGGTGAGTTCTACAGACCTGAATCTGTCCCTGGTGGGTGCCATCATCTTCTTCTGGCAGGTCCTCTTCAGCACAAGAAGCCAACCTCACTGTTATACTCATGCATATTCGCAAGAGTACAGCAGTGAGGTCTATAGACAGAGCCAATTCCCTGCACCAGTGACGGCTGTTGGGATTGACACGGTAGTCCCTACTTTGTCATATGCTTTTAGTTAGAAATAGATTTAAAAAAATGAAAACATAAAGATAGCATAGGGAAAAAAAGAAAAGAGGAAGCGATTGGGAAAAGGTAAGTAAAGTGTGATAGTGCCCCTTTAATGTGTGTTCTCGAATATTACTGTTGTAAGACTTCACTGAAGATCAAGATGGCCTTCATGCGTAATGAATACTGCTTCCCAATATGTAAAATAGGCCTTGATTTAATTAGCATAAAAAATGATTACAATCTGGTAGGAAAAAAATAACATTTCAAATAATTTATCTATAGAAATCGCCATTACTCTAGGGGACCTTTTGTAGGTAAATCATTTGAAAAGTTTTATCTAACAGATTGTGATAATTTCTGATGCTGATCCTAACAAAGTAAATTCTGGCCATAGACAGAGAAAATCAGAGAGAAATTAGCACATGGAACAACATGTTTTATCAGAGGATTTATCACTTTCAATTCCATATAGATAGATTGTAGAATATTTATATTTATGTAGATAGACTTGGACCGGATTGTTCTATAGTCTGTGTAATGTGTACAGTTCAGGTCACATGGACAGATATGTTGTACAGAAGACTAGGACCTGATAGTACCTATCTCAGTGAGAAGGATTTTTTTTTTTTTAAGTGTGTGGAAGTTAACACAAGGAGCCAAAGTATATGAAGGGGAATTTAAGTTTGCCCAAGAAAAATAAAGCGTTCTAACAACTGCAAATGTATAGAGTATTACTATGATATAAACTAAACAATGATTGGACAAGACTGCTACACGTAAACATTTGCAGTCTCATTTTGAATTAAACTGTAACAATCTTAATTTAAATGTTCTGTTTATACAGCAATGCTGTAATTTGTTCTTCGACATGTATTCTATTTTAATTAAGACAACCACCAGATGGATTTAAGGGTCTCTAGATTTTCAAAGTATAAAAATAACTTAAATAATTACCCATAGAATGGCATTACTTTAAATAATGTAAAGTTGAATATTGAATTACTTACTTTACCCATAAGGATGTTGTAGAATAGTTGCATTTCTTCAGAGATCAGTTGCACCCTGCAACTCTCATGCACAGCATATGACCACTCAATAGCAGCATCTCCAAACTTATTCTGCAGATAACTAAAGAAAAATTCTGGCATAGATGACTGTTTGCCATTCTGTGCAAAAGACAAACATATAAATTCTGGTTATGAAAAGAAAGGTGAATTTAATTGAATATATACAACATAGTTTGCATTTACATAGGTGCTAACCATAGCTCTTCGTCTCAATAAATGTGACTAGCCATAAGAAAATCCTAACCACACTGACATTCTAACTCAAGGAGACCTACTAAATCTCCAGTGATAGAATATAGGGAACACCTCATAGTTCTAGCTGTAGGCTAATTTGCTTTCTTTTGTGAAAGTAATTTTTAAATATTTCATTTTTAAGAAGACATTTTCCAGAAGATACAGTGAAAACTCCTGAATAGCTTGTTCTGCTGATCAAGCACTATTAGCAGGAGCAACAAAACCAACCAATACTTTAAAACCTTGAAGTGGCCCTCTAATTCTTTCTTTCTTTCAGTGTTTTCCTTTCCTGATGACAATCAGTATTTTTCCTCCTCAATTCTGAGTGTTTAATTCAGAAAAACATTTGTTCACATAAGTTGATGCTTCCAAAGATGAAGAAGATTATTGCCACATGTATTCTTAAATTGACAAATGTTCCCTTTTATACACTTTTGGAAAAATTCTTGGGGGGCACTTCGTTACATTTGATTTTCAGGTCTGAGTCACAATGAAAGTCAATGATTTCTATTTGGAGGTACCCTTGTGTCTCCATTATATTCATAGAGAAGGAGTTAATTATCACATTCAGGTTGCTTTCTTGAGCATGAAAATCTTGGAATTTCTGTTGAAACTAGGTCTGGGGAGGAGATATTGCAGTCACATATCGAAAATGCATATTCTGCAGACTGCAAATTCAATATGCTTTGGAAATTTGTTAAATTTCTGATCTTGAAGTTAGCACTTAAGCACTTTCCTCTGGAAAGCTTTGACGTGATTAAACAGGCCATGCACCAATTTTAACTAACGGAGAGAAAATGTGTGTAAGGAAGGCAAAGTTGACCAACTTCGTCGGCTTATCGAACTTTAGTACTAGCTTGCCTTCTGCTGTCATAAATTCTTGGAAGGCATCTTTCAACTCAAAAATCCACGTGAGCACTTTTGAACAGTGTAAGCATTGCACATCTGTGTAGTTAACAGCATTACCACGATCAGCAGCCCATTCTACCTATGGAAAATGTGTTCATGAGCCACAGTGAAAGCTTCTATCAGGCCATGAGGTGCCTGCGGGGTATGGGTCGAGCATCTATGCCCTAGGGCAGGAGAGAAGAGATTTTCATTACCTTCCTTTTTGGCATGACTTGGGTGCTCTAGGGTTGCCACCTTTCTTGGAAAAAAGTACTGGCCATACTAAGTTGCATAATTAATTATGCATGCGTGACATCACAAGATGTAAATCACAAGGAGTGACATAACAGAAAATTCTTTAAAATAACCACAAAACTACTTACAGTTTGATTCTGCAGTATAGAGTGATTGCTCCCACTGTCTTCCTGTCTCACAGTGCAGTGTCTTCATGTCTCCAAGTGTCTCCTAGTGTTCCCTAGTGTCTCAGTGTCCCTATCTATTCCAGTGTACCCTAGTGTCTCATTGTCCCCATGTCTATGTCCCCATGTCTCCCAGTGTACCCTGGTGTCTGTGTCCCCATGTCTGTGTGCCCCAGTGTCCCCATGTCTCCCCTATTGTCTCAGTGTCCCCATGTGTCTGTGTCCCCCAGTGTCCCCATGTCTCTGTGTTCCCCAGTCTCTGTGTGCCCCAGTGTCCCCATGTATCGGTGTCTCCCAGGATCCCCCAGTGTATCCATGTCTCTGTGTGCCCCAGTGTCCCCATGTCTCTGTGTCTCCCAGGATCCCTCAGTGTCCCCATGTCTATGTATCTCCCAGGATCCCCCAGTGTCTCTATGTCTCTGTGTTCCGCAGTTTCCCCATGTCTATGTGTCTCCCAGGATCCTCCTGTGTCCCCATGTCTCTGTGTCTCCCAGGATCCCCCAGTGTATCCATGTCTCTGTGTCCCCCAGTGTCTCCATGTCTATGTGTCTCCCAGGATCCCCCTGTGTCTCCATGTCTCTAGGTGCCCCAGTGTCTCTGTGTCCCCCAGTGTCTCCATGTCTATGTGTCTCCCAGGATCCCCCTGTGTCCCTATGTCTCTGAGTGCCCCAGTGTCCCCATGTCTCTGTGTTCCCCAGTGTCCCTATGTCGAAATATCTCCCAGGATCCTCCTGTTTCCTCATGTCAATAACAGGTTAAAAAACCTTTCTGTACTCATCCAAGGGAGATCAGTGCTGGGTCTGCACTCCGCCTCCTCCAAAGTGTCGGGCTAAAGCACATGCGCGGCGAGCACCTAAAGGCCCTCCCCATAGGAAAGCATTAAATCAACGCTTTCCAATGGAGTTTTCACTGATGCTGGATATCTTCATGCAGAGCGTGAGGATGTCCAGAATCAGTTAGGTGACCTAAAGTCGGGTAAGATCCCGGAAGCCACTCTAGTGGCGGTCTGGTAGACAGCCACTAGAGGCTTTCTTAGAGAAACCACAATGTTTACATTGCAACACTAACACTGCAACTTTTTACATTGTAGGACTAAGGGCAATAGGGACACTGCATCCAGACTACTTCAATGAGCTGAGGTGTTCTGGGTGCCTATAGTGTCCTTTTATTTAATTTTTTAATGTTTTTATTTTGTATTTTATTGTAGCATATAGGTAAATGTACAGATGGGTATAGCATGCTACATTTTGAGTGCATTCAAAAATAAGTACTAGACAGCGACAGCTGACAAAAAATAGTAATGAATACAGTGCAGTAAAACTGCCAAACGATAAGACATTATCAGATGGGCAATGCACATTTTTGTGATGAGTAGTGTAAACACTGGAACATTCTGCTACTAATGGGGGGTATAAGTTTTGCGAGAGAGCATTTATAGAAAATCATTTTGGTGAAAAGGCATATAACAAAACACTAACGTATAGAAATCAACAAACACAAAACCAGCAAAATTAGGGTTATGTATGGCCAAGAGTAGGTCATCTCCACTGGGCTGGTAGGCAAAACAGTGGCAGCTGGTGTTGTAAAGAATGTCCATGTGCCATCTTTATAGATGTTTCTCAGGTGCCAGCCGAGTTCGACTCTGCTGTTGTTGGTCTGAGTTTCGGGTAAAAAGGCTGTATATTGTTCACATCCCACACCTGGACCAAGGTTTGGTGGCTTGTGCCTGGAGTAGATTTCAGAAAAATCTCTGGCAAAGGCAGTGCCTTGATGAACTTCCCTGCGTCTGACTGTTGCAGTGATTGGATTTGCTTCCCATCGTGGAGCACTGATAGTTTGCGGCCAAGGCCCCAAAGGTATGCCACTTTATGTTCCCTCAAGTGCTGAGTGATAGCATGGAGAGATTGTCGCCAGAAGATGGTGGACCTAGTCAGGTCATTAAGAAGGAGAGGAAAACCTTCAAAGTGGTAAGTTGGTGAGTTGTGAACAGCTGCCTGCACAAGCTGCTTACTCCGTAACGATTAGAAGCAGAGCAGAGTTTCTTCTGTAGGCAGGTTTGCATCATCCGGCAGGGCATGGATTTCAAACCTGCCACACATTCAGTGGCTCAGAGCATCAGCTGATGGATCTTAGCCAGTTATGGAAGGTCTGTGCATCGAAATGTACACAGAACTGACATTAGCCATCCCCGAACTCATGTTCCAGGCTGGCTGATGACGCCCCCTAACCCAACTGGCGGTGGAGTTACACCTCTGGCAGCAAAGAAGTTAAACTCAGTACATACAGTGTTTTACAGACAAACACTGCACATACAGAATCGAGGCACCATGACTCATTTAAATCACTGAAGTGGTCATGATGCTTGGAGTAACCTTTTAAGGTATGATTAAGATTCTATGAATTATATTACATTTTAAGGAGGTAATCAAAGAAATGGCATTATTAAGTATAGTACCTGTGCATCTAATGTCATTTTTTCTTTCCAAACTTCTTGTAGTAAATTGGACACATCACCTATGCTTAATCTTAAATTCTTAACTAATCCATCGTAGCGCAGATGAATGGGGACATCTTCCTCTTTTCCCTAGAGCAGAATGTTACAAATATTATGAGACATTTCAGGAAATTTTGGTGTCTAAATTGAAAACACTATATAACATTAATTTGGAAGGTGGTACTGTGGATTTGAATTGAGTAAGATATAAAATTGATTTAATTATATAAGAATACAGAGTTTCCCTTCCTTTGTACATAAAAAATTACTTTCAGTGCTTTACATTAACGAGTACAGTAAAAATGTAACACAATTGGTTTCGATGACAATTCTTGTTCTTGGATTGAACATTAGAGTTTGGCTAAGTGCAGCCAAAAAAGCTGGTATGATGTATTGGGTACACTTTTCCTGGGTTCACAGTGTGATGTCCTGGGTTCACTTTTCTTTAATCTTTTTATTAATGAGCTCGTAATGAGCATGATAAGTCATGTGTAGTGCTTGCAGATGACAATGGAAATAAAGTGGAGGAATTGCAGAGGTGAACTACAAAATGAATATGGGGAAAGTAAAAAAACCTGCATTTTTTTTTTACTCCAGATAAGTCTGTCTGATATGCCTCCCATAAAATTCCTGTTTCTGCCAAACATTCTTTCTCAGAGCCCTGCCCTTGAACTTTTGGTGGAGGTAACAGTGAATCCTCTTGGAAAGTGTAGGTATATTAAAAAACAACTAGCCAGGAAAATTATAAAACTGCTATTTCCTTTCAAAATAGTGATAATGCATGGTCAGAGGCGGTTCTCTAATTAGGCGACCGTCTAAGGCCCCGTGCAAACTGGGGCCTCACGGCCGCCTAAATCGTCTTAGGGCAGACTGACATGTCGGGTCCTCAGTCTTTGACCGAGGACCCGACACAGGAGGGGGCCCGGCGGCTGGCTCATTATGCCACTAGGTGGAATGCCACTCCATTCAGTCTGCCCTGGGAGGAAAGCGCCCTGTACAGCCTCTGGTGTGCAGCTCCTCCGGGTGCAGAGCTGCAGACTGCGGTGTCTCGCGATCTCCAGCAAATCAGAACGTTGCCGCAGGTTACCACAGAACACTCTAAAACTTCAGTAGATCACAAGATACGTACCATGTGGTCTGCAGCTCTGCACCCGACGGAGCTGCAGACCAGATAGGTATCCACAGGACCACCAGGGGAATGAATCCAAGATAAAAAGTATGTTTGACTACCCACCTTATACACACAATGCAACCCCTGTTTATTTTCACTTTGGTTGTTAGTGGGGGCCTCATGTTTGAGTTTCGCCTAAGGCCTCACAAAGCCTAGAGCCGCCACTGTGCATGGTCTTTGGAACAGATCATATTATCTGTCCACTTGCCATAAAAGTTAGTCTTCTATAACTCCACCTGTTTAGCTCTCCTTGGGTTTTGTTCCCCCTTGTGGTAGACAGCATTGAGTAGAGTTAGTCAGTCCTGAAATTATCTGCCTAGCAGTTCCACACACAAATTGCAAAAACAAACTTATGAGCCACACAGAAAACCTCCATAGCTTTTTTTCTCCATGTTTCCTTCCCTCTTTATACCTTACTTAGATAAGAATCCTAGTTACCTTTACCAACCTACAGCGTGCCTGCAGTAAATAAGGAGTAAGCATCAAACGTCTTTCCATAAGTCTCAGTGCAGAACTTCCACTTGTGCAGCTACCCATGCACTCAAGGCTACCCCATGGGTATTGGTGAACAGGGGTCTGGTCGGGTGCCCCGGCCCTTTAACAGCATGACTCTGTGACTTTAACATCAGCAACCTGGATAGGAGTGCAGCTCACTTCCTCTCAGCTACATGGAGCGCCGAGCGGGAAGCAGAGACAGGGTGGAGAGCAAGGAGAGACCCAACTCCAGCCAGCCCTGCATTCCCATCAGACTCCGCCAGCAGCAGGACCCCCAGGAAAACCACCCCACTGCACATAAAAGGGTGGCTAAAAACAAGAATTATGACATGTGTGTATATCTGTGTGTGTATATATCAGGGTGTGAGTTTGTATATTTATATGTATGTTTATGTGTGTGTATATATGTGTTTGAGTGTGTGTATGCGTCAGTATGTGTATCTGAGTGCATGTGTGTATGCGTCAGTATGTATCTGTGAATGTGTCAGTGTATGTGTATCTATGTTAATATGTATGTGTCAGTGTATGTGTATATGTGAATACATCCCAGCAATCAAACGCCATCACTACATGCAAACACACCGTTGCAATCAAATGCACATATTACATACAAACACATTCCTTCATTCAAACACTAATATTACACACAAATGTACATCAGCATTTAAAAGCCAACACTACCTACAAAAAACCCTCTGTATTCAAACACAAAAATTACAAGCACACACTTCTGTATTAAAATGCCAAAATTACCGTATTTTTCCATGTATAAGACACCGCCATGTATAAGACAACCCCTATTTTTTAAACCCAAAATTAAGAAATACGTATTTTAAACATCTATAGAGCACTTAAGTCCAGTTTAGCTGATCAGAATCTTCCACCGGTCCTGGGCCCTCTCACACTCCAGTAGGCCACTCCTCAAGGTCCGGCCACGTCCGAACACTGGTTTCCTGGACTGCCATCCTGCTGTTGCCGGCAACTATGCCCTCTACTCTATGTCCGTGCAAGTCCTCACCCTGCGGCGTCTATCTGTGGTATTGTCCAGAGTGATGCGAGGAAACATGCGGTTGCACAAGATCTCTCAGACCCGTGCAAATAATCGATCAAATTCATGGAGAAGCACCTTCTCTGCTTCAAGTATGCTAGCAGGTCGCAGAGGTGTACAACACAGCCTATGCCCGCAGGAACCTTACAGTTGCGAACCCAACAGTCAGCTGAGTGTTCTGTCAGCGAGTAGCCAAGTTTTGTTCCCATGTTGCGCTGAATAAGTATTGTAAGTATTTGGCTTAATAATCAGCGTTTTGAGCAAGCTCCAGCCACATGCGACTAGCTTGGTTTGGTGTCAGGCCCCATGCACAAGTCCTGTGGTGACATTCCATGCATAAGATGACCCCCAGTTTTAGACTAAAAAAATTCAGTATATACAAAACACCCCTTCATTCAAACACCAACACTATACACAACAGTACATGTACATTTAAAAGATAACACTATATACAAACACAACCCTGCATTTAAATGCAAACACTACACACAAGTATACCACTATATTCCAATGGCAATAGTATATTAAAATACACCCCAACATGCATTCACACGTCATACAAAAACATGATTACATTCAAATGCACAAACACTGCTCACAAATACAACCCTACAACCATTGGCAAACGATATATCCCCAACTGGCATACCATCATGGGAGTTGTATGACAAATGAGGATCTACCTTTTGGTCCTGGTTTCGTGCTTGAGTGATCCCAAAAATTTTTATTGCACCAGGGTCCTCACTACATTAGTTATGCTACTGGTCAACATCCATCTATGTTAAGGGACACTATAGTCACCAGAACAACTGCAGCTTATTGAATATGTTCTGGTGAGTAGAATCACTACCTTTTCAGAGAAAATGCAGTGTTTACATTACAGCCTAGTGATAGCTTCACTGGCCACTCCTCAAATGGCTGTTAGAGATCCTTCCTGGGTCATGGCTGTCTAAAATGCATCCAAACATTCAGTATCTTCTCTCTCTGACACTGAACTTTCCTCATAGAGATTCGTTGATTCAGTTGATCTCTATGAGGAGATGCTAATTGGCCAGGGCTGTGTTTGAATCATGCTGGCTCTGCCCTTGATATGCCTCCTTGTCAGTCTCAGCCAATCCTATGGAGAAGCATTGTGATTGGATCAGGCTACCACTTCTGATGATGTCAGCAGACTGCTTGTTTTTCTGAGACAAACAGCATGCAGAGTTACAGCTTCAGGCTTGAATACAGTAGGATTTTGCTATATTTATGAAGGCATGAGGGGCCCAGGGGGGCTAGATGCTGGTTTTAAAACTATAGTATCAGGAATATATGTTTGTGTTCCTGACCCTATAGTGATCCTTTAATAACTGCCATTCTAGTTCCAGTATCATTCATACCAAGCTAGCAACTTGCCACATAGACACAGCCCTTGTGGTACCTGTTACGGGTATAGACAAAAACGCACCAGGCACCTTTTACCAATATGCTTACCACATGCAGAGCAGTTACAATTTACCTCTCTCTTTCATCTTGACTCAAACATTTTAGTTACATTTTGTGGATTTACAGAGCTCAGAGATTATGGTGTGGAGTTCTCCCAATTTAGAATATTTTCAGCTTGTGTTTGTAGTGCACTTAATAACAACCTTACATTTTATGCTTTATGTTACAACATACCTTACCAGTGAAGAAGTCCTTCTCACTGAGTGTCCTTGTGCCAAGTTCAGTCAGCAGAATACTCACAAGTTGATCACTGCTTTTTTCTGCAGATAATGTCAACCAAGTGTCTTCAGGGAAAACATCTGTAAGCATATAGAAAACCATTTTCTGTTTTAACGATTTAATCCATTACTTGTAAAAAAAAGCCCTAAAACTGGGTTCTATTCTCAGGTAAATATGGAGTTGAATTATTCTAGATATAAATCACCAGTGCTGGGAATAATTATTCTAGATATAAACACCTACAAATATTAAGCTGCATTGACCGCCCCTTATACACCCTTGCTAACCAACACCAAATACAGATAATTTTTTATATTACTCTGTATACCTAGAAAAACAGGGGATTGCGGGGTATACACAGATCGGCACACCGCTAGAGTAAAGATGAGTTTTACAGCATTTTTTAAGTGGGGCAAGAGGGGGCTGGGCTTCCACAGTAACCACTTAAATGTACAGGTTTTGATTAAAATAAAACGTAAACAAAACTTGGAAGTTGACTATATGTCTGTTGAACCGTAATTCACCTCTTTCATATTAAGTGCACCCACACTTATTATATATAATTTTATTCAGGAGAAAGAGGGCTTTCATTTAACATAAAATATTTTAATATGAAACATAATTTAATATGAATAAAATATAAAAAAGTGAGAAATTAAGACTTTTATTTTTTAGTTCTGCATGACATTTTAACTGTGAATGTCATAAAACTGTTTGCTTTTACTACAATAAAATACACATATTTGTATTCAGTGATGTCTCACGTGTAAAACAGTACCCTCTATGTACAGGTTTTATGGTGTTTTGGGAAGTTACAGGGTCAAATATAGCATGTTAAATTTTTCAGTTTCTTTACATTGAAATTCGCCAGATTGGTTACGTTGCCTTTGAGACCGTATGGTAGCCCAGGATTGAGAATTACCCTTATGATGGCATACCATTTGCAAAAGTAGACAACCCAAGGTATTGCAAATGGGGTATGTCCAGTCTTTTTAGTAGCCACTTAGTCACAAACATTGGCAAAAGTTAGCGTTAATATTTGTTTGTGTGTGAAAAACGCAAAAAACTAATTTGAACGCCAATTTTGGCCACTGTACACATTTGCATTCCTGACATTACAGTGTTCCATTAAATATTTGTAGGCCTGGATACATCAATAGGTATATTTATAAGTAAAATATAATATTAATATTGTATAACATTCGAATATAAACTGTTATACAAGCTTTTTTTCCCCCATCATTATGGTACAACAATTGTGCATATTTTAACGGTTTATTAAACAAGCATTCGGCATTGACAAATTACAAAAATTATGATTTTCTGTGATTTAGTCAGAAAAATAAGGGAAAATCCCTGTACTGCAAATGTCAGAATGACCATGCAGCTCCCTGACCGAACATGGTTCAAATAACATTTGGTCATTTAATTAATCATGTACGCAACACAAAATTCTGACAATCACAGTACAACAAACACGATGTCTGGTGGGCGCATTTTCTGACTAATCCTGTGACCACAATCACTGACCAGTTATCATGCAATGCTATTTTGAAATTTATTGTTTTATCAGCCAAACACTGCCAAGTTTCTGTAGAATAAGACCAACGTTGAACTTAATTAAGGAAAAAAGTAAGAAAGGGTCTTTTCTTAATTTTGATGTGTTGTTTAAAGTTGTTTTGATGCCTATAGTATCCATTTAAATCACACCAAAAAAACATTGGAAAGGTTAATCCATTATTCACATTCCTAAAGAACAACTTGGAAGCAAGCCTACAGAATAATGAGTGTCAACTTGGATGGAGGCTGCATGCAGGCATGGACGGTTTTATTGGGTGGTTCAAGGAGGAATTGAAAGGTATAATGTGTGAAATGATGGACACCACTAGAGAGTTAATCCTAGCTACCATTTGTGATCCAAGAATAAAGGGCAATCTGGCTATAAGGAGCAATACTTTGCCTGTGTGGAAAGTCAGACTATTCGTAAAAAGTCGATGATACGCAGAGATAGAGGAGCATATAATAATGGAGGAACAGTTGCCATTTGGAGAAACACTTCAAACAAGCACTGAAACTTCTTATAGCAGTGGCAGTAGAGATCCTCCTCCTTAGCTGGTGATAGTGCTATAGGCAGAGGCAGACAAAGTGGACTAGCAACCGTTTGGGCTATGGCCCTTACCAGAGCCATGATGATGGAAGTGGAGCCACATCATCATCCCAGAGTAGCGTCTCAGAAATGGTTGAAGCATACTTTTCAGAACCTACTTTGGCTCGTACCCCAGAGCCTCTTACTGGGAAAAAAGTCAGGCGTGACCATGACTTTGGTTGCTTGTGTAAACATTAGTGCCATGCCCAGCCACAAGTGTTCAGAGGGAAGGAGACTTATCAGTTACTGGCAACATCCTCAATCCCCACCAATTAATTTTATACAGATCCCTTACAGTGTTGGGTGGTTGCAAAGCCAGTCTTACAGATTGTCTGATATATTGGCAGCAGTTTTATCACACTCTTATCCCTCACAGTGTGATACACTAACACACTGAACAGGAAGGCTTTGTCTCTTGTGCCGGTCTATTGGAAGAGGACTGAGATCCCCACGCAGGGGGAGTGGATCCAAAGGGTCGAGGACATTCAGGCAGCAGAGGCATTCCAGGCCTCCCTGACGGGGAGGGGGAGCAGGCATACGGAGACATGGCGGCCATTGTTCATTTTCAGGGCAGGGACATTGGAATTGCTGTTGACCATCCTGCGGGGTGGAGACCTGGGAGGAGGAGGGGGGAACGGGCAGCAGAGAGATGATCCCCTCATTTTCCCATCGCCCCTTTGTTTGTGCCTATCTGGACCTCCATCTCATCGGAGAGACCCTCAAGGATCTCTGACAAAACACTACAGCAATAAAATTTAGACGGAGGGGCCTCATGTGGGGAGAGGGACGGGAGGGGGAACGGCGAACATAGAATACGCACTGAGACCCCCTTTAACAATCTTTCACACACCACTCATGGCCACGCGCTACTCACACATAAACCTTAGTGACGGACTACGGAGTGAAGGTTATGAATACATGATACAGAGAGCCTCTATCATACACCACAAGTTCAACTCCCGAAAGGGGGATACACGACCCTCCCATAGCTCACTGTGAGACAATTCCTCGATAGGGACACGTGCTCCTGACCTAACCTACTTACATGACACATGAAACAAAGCCGAAATGAACAGCATGTGATAGCCACAGGAGTTAACCACAATTAAGACCCTACCGCTTTATACGCAGATGGAGTGCCACACACAAAAAGGCAAAACCTCCTGGGGACTCTAACTGCCCTCACTATCTACCCTAATATCTACCTTTATCTCTACATTCACACACGTATCCCTTCCCTTTCTGATGAGGATCCTACCTCGAACACACATATTCCAAAACATAAGAATAAGAGAATCTGAATAACACAGACACCTGGGAACAAGCTATGACCACGAAAGCGTTTATGAAATCAATAGACATACAGGGCACAGTTATGATCGCTAAGTTACTGTACAGTTGTTGTCTTAAAGGAAACGAAAAATAAACAAAACTAGCTCGAAAAATGTTAAAAGATCGGATCTATATAGAACTTTTAAAAAGGCACGTATAAACATTATTTATCAATGTATATATTAATGGGCCCTGCGAGCCTTACAACGTATATTGCATTTCCTCAATAAAAAAGATTTACAAACCCCCCACCCCCAAAAAACAGGAAGGCTTTGTAAGATGTAGTCGGAATACTTCAACCAACAACAGGGATAATGCTTTGCACGCATTCTCTTTACAGACAGTTGACTGGTGGTACCTTTAAAAGTGAAGTTTAAAAAAAAAATCTAACTGCCCTAGACTATTCAGGGGAAGCACATGACCCGGTACAACCTGGTCGGTCACTGTTCATGGCTAGGTAAATAGTTTCTGTTATAAACTGCATTCACCAAGATTCTGTCTCAAGTGAAACATTTCTCTGTAAAACAAAACTTTGAATTTCACTTTAATAATTTTTCTTTTTGCCTGAAAAAACATTTGCATGATTCCTTAAATACCTGCACAATTATCCCATGCTGGGTGAGGAGTGTCCTTACTCTGTTGTTCTTTTGCAGAGTCTTTTAGCAGAACCTGATTGTGGATCTCTAAAAGAGATTTGTGTTCAGTCTGCAATTGCAAAAGATCCTTCTGCAGCACTTCAATCTGCAACACAAGACAGAGACAGTTCATTAGACATTGCATTACTTTTAACATCTAATAAAGGCTAAAAAGAAAGACAGGAATAGCTTGTGCATGCAATGTATGGTCTAAGCTTTGCTCCCCTTCCCTATGATGCTCTCATACTTTGGGTTGAATTGGAGACCCAGCATATTCATACCACCCATTTGTTCAATAACATTAAAGGAACACTATAGGGGCAGGAACACAAACATGTATTCCTGACCATATTGTGTTAAAACCACCATCTAGCCCCCCTGACCCTTATTGCCTTCATAAATATAGTAGAATATTACTTGTATTCAAGTCTGCAGCTGCTGGCTCTGCTCCTGTCTCCTGATATAATCAGAAGTGGTGGTCTTAGCCAATTACAATGCTTTCCCATAGGATTGGCTGAAGCTGTCAAGGAGGCTAATCAGGAGCAGAGCAAGCACAAGTCAAACAGTCCTGGCCAATCAGCATCTCCTCATAGACATACATTGAATCAATGCATCTCTATTAGGAAAGTTCAGTGTCTGCATGCAGAGGGTGGAAACACTGAATGGCAGTACTGCTCACTGTGCCGCACTTCCCCAGAAAGCACCTCTAGTAGCCATCTGAGCAGTGGCCAGTGGCGGCATCCCTAGGCCTAGGCTGTAATGTAAACACTGTATTTTCACTGAAAAGACTGTGTTTACTGCAAAAAGTCTGAAGGGACTGATTCTACTAACCAGACTAAATACAATAAGCTGTAGTTGTTCTGGTGAGTAGTTTCCATTTAAGAATCCTAATCCAAACCTACTACGACAAAATCTGGAGATGATGAGTAGTCATAAGGTTGACTAAAACTGCTGCACTGCCTCTAGATGGCTTGCAAAAGTTGGGTTCAAATTTCCACCACCTATGCAGTTAGCTGACTGATCACCTTTACAGTGGTAAGATGCAAACCTTATTCATGAAACAATTTTTGCAGTAGGGCTGTCAAGGATTAAGAAAAAGGGAACCCAAGAGGTAAAAGGTTGTGGAGGGAAAAAATCCAAGTCAAAAGAATACAAACTGGTGTATTTCAGATAGAACAATCAGACAGTCCAAGGTAAGAAATTCCAGGCAACAAGGGGTCAGAAAGATAAAGCCATGTGAAGGTCAAATACCAGGGAGACAATGACTGAAATGCAACCAGTTGTTCACAGCCAGAGCACAGAACAACTGAGCAATGACAGTTGTGAACCTAGTTTGCCAGCTGCTAGAACAAATTTAGAAAAAATAACAAATAAGAGCCAGTGGGTGCCAATATGATCCCCACATAACTTTTGTAAGGGTTGCATCGTTTCTTATCACCTTTCATGGGATGCATACCTACTAAACTGTGATAAGTTGGTAGCTGCATCACCATTAATACCCTATTCCATGAACAGTGGAATAGGGTGTAAATAAAATTAGAAAAAGTGGGGGCCTGTATCTGGTCCCCCATTATATACTCCTCTACCCCTCTGTTTAGCAGTTGTGGGGCAGCTATGGATGCCCAGTAGTCAAGGTTCTCATCCCATTCGTGGTGGGATGGGGTCTGTAAATGAATAGTGAGAACCTGCCACTGCTACCATAGGCGTGCGCAGCCTATTGCATTAGGGTGTGCACCCTAAAGCACAAGCACACGCCGTATATATATATATATATATATATATATATATATATATATATATATATATATATATATATATATATACACACACACACACACACACACACACACACACTGCTGTGTGTGAGTGTGCTGTGTGAGGGTGCTGTTAGTGTGATGTGTGTGTGACGTTGCTGGTAGTGTGCCATGTGGGTGAGGGTGTTTGTGTGTGCGCGCTTGTGAGGGTGCTGTTAATGTACTGTGTGTGAGAGTGCTGTTTGTGTGTGTGTGCGCTTGTGAGGGTGCTGTTAATGTACTGTGTGTGAGGGTGCTGTTTGTGTGTGAGGGTACTGGTAGTGTGCTGTGTGTGTGTTTGTTAGGGTCCTGTTTGTGTTTCATAGAGTTCACTCTCGTGAGATTTGAGCATTATTGCCGTGGCAACGCTCATATCTCGCGAGAGGAACGCTCATATCTCGCGAGAGGAACCCGGCGGAGCTGCCGGCAATAGCTCCCCGGGTCCTCTCCCGCCTCCCTCCCTGCCTGTGGGTCGGTAGGTAGGGAGGCTGAGAGCAGAGCCGGCGCTCGGATAGCGCCGGCTCTGCATGAGCCGACAGGGGAGATCCTGAGATCTCCCCTGCCAGTCTCAATATACATAGGTGTGCTGCGGGGATTAGGGTGTGCCCAGGCACACCCGGCACACCCCGTGCGCACGCCTATGACTGCTACCTTCTCCAACCAATCGTTGTTCATCCAAACACTATATTCGATAGAGTGCATTCCTTGGGAAATCATCTCCAAAGTGTAAATAGCATTGTAAAACATTAAAGGGACACTCTAAACACAAAAACAACTTTACCTTAATGAAGTAGTTTTGATGTATAGATCATGCCCCTGCACTGTCTCCACTCAGTTTTCTGCCATTTACGAGTTAAATCACTTTGTTTATGCAGCCCTAAACATATCAGTCTCTATTTTGTTTAACCTCCCTGATTGTACAGTGTGTTTAATTTAGAATTTCTTATCTTCTGCTCTGTTAATTGTCTGCTATAGCTTACAGTAACCACTTGCAAATTAAAGTTCAAGTAATAGAACATCTAAAGTAAACCTAATGTGCTCTAAAAATAAAAGCTTTTTCATGGAGGCTGTGTGAGTCGCAGTCAGGGGAAGTGTGGCAGAAGCATGGGAAGGAAGGAGGAAAAGAGAGGGAGAATAAGAGAAAGAGAGAGAGAAAAAAAGAACAAACAAACCCTTTCTGGCACACAGCAATCAAGGGAAACGTGGCCAGATAGAAAAGCAGTCATTTTTACTTTTGATGGAAAAAAATGGTCAAGGAAATCTGTATTAAAGCAGCACTGTCATGGTCGCATCTGGGTTTTTTTTACTCGCCCCCCCTCCCGACTCTACTACATCTAATTTCTCACCCCCATATGCCCCTAGGATCCCCATGTTAACTTTTAAAAAATCTTTATTTCATGCCTGGACCTAGGTCCTGGGTGCCGTAAACTTTGTGTGGGTAGAGGAAGGCCCTGTGGGACACGTCATCTGCTCACACTAGATAGCGCTTTAAAATTCCCGCACATGCCCATTTAAACACTGGGGCTATTGTCCGAAATTCAAATGGGAATTTTCATCGGTATGACCCCCATATTAGCATAAGGTAGATTGAAATATCCCAAATGCCCCTACTCGCTATGCCACGAGTAAGGGCATGTCTACTAAACAGTAAGTAGCCTGTGGCTGCTCACTGTAAAAAAAAAAAAAATGAAAATAAAATGTAAAGCCCCCCATAGCACCCACTCATGAGTGGTGGGTGGGGGCCCTAAATTACAATAAGGGGGGGGAAGACCTATTATCATCCCCCTTGGGCCTCACCCATGAGCTGCAGGTGGGGGCCCTAAATGACAATGGGGGGGAAACCTATTATCCTCCCTCTGGCCCCCACCCATAAGCAGCAGGTGGGTGCCCTAAATGGCAATGGGGGGCACCTATTGTCCTCCCCCCGGCCCTCACCCATGAGTGGTGGGTGGGGGCCCTAAATGACAATGTGGGGAGACCAAATGTCTTCATATAGAAGAAGACATCAATATCATATAGAAGAAGAGGGCAAGAGAAGAAATTTCAGCATTAAAAGTGCTAAAAACACATCATACATGATAAAAAACATTTCTCGATATATATATATATATATATATATATATATATATATCATAGAGACCCAAGATAAAAACAGTGAAATAAAATATTTATATTATAAGTGCACCTTAAAATAGTAGTGAGGGGAGACAATAAAACTAAATACCTGTAAATAAATAAAAACAAAAATACTTACCATTTGATGTCTTCTTTTTTCTAAAACCTTCTTTTTTCAGCCCCCAAAAAAGCCAAATAAAAAAATCGTAATATCCGTCAAACTTCTAGAATAAAAAAAAATCTGCCGAAAAATAAATAAATCCTGACGCTAAAAAAAATAATCCATCTTCACCCAGCAGGGGGATCACGCAGACTGAGCTCTGCAGGGCGGGTAAAATAATAATAACAAAGTATTTAACCAGGAAAGGCATTCAGATTACTCTGGTTTTCAAGTACGTCCTGGGGATGTTACCTAAGCCCAACATCCAGGGGTTGTTACTATTACCCAATTTAATGGTTCTCTTTCCACGCCCTGCAATTTGGCTCCGAGTGCTCTGATTGGTTGGTTTAAGCCAACCAATGAGAGTTTTCTGACAGGTAAATGAAGAGACTGACAGGTAAGTCTCTACATTTACCTGTCACAGCACTCTGATTGGTTGGCTTGGAATCCAACCAATCAAAGTACTCTGAGCCAAATTGCAGGGCGTGGGAAGGCTCCAGCCGCAGCATGGATCAGATCGATATTTCATTCATTCGAATTAAATTTCAAACCGACCTAAAAGTAAAGATTGTCGTCCTAACATGAATGAACAACTGTTCTCATTATGTTTGGGCGAAATTTGGTAGTTTCGCCTGCGTTTTGTCTAAATAACAGGACGTTTGTGAATAGTGAAAGGAGGCATCGCGAGATCACAGAGGAAAGGTGAGAATTTTGGGAAATTGCTCTGACCACAGGAAATGGAGCACACTTTGCTCCTCCGCTGGTCATGCGTAGGAAATATACATAAGACAAAATAGTCCCTACTTTGTCTTATGTTTTAAAGAAAACTAGATCAGATAGGAAGAAATGAAAAACAGATCCCGAGAGAGGAAGAAAAGAGGAAACGATTAGGGAAAGGTAAGTTCGGCATGACAGTGCCGCTTTAAGCAGTAAAGAGGGCAGCAAAATCAAATACAATCCAAGGTATACAGTGTAAAGTGAAAAAAAGGGGTGATAAGCGCACACAAATAAATATAAGGAATTGATTACCTCATCTTTTTATGAAAAACATAAATATTCCTTACAATATACTTTTCTTTGGTAACCAGTGTAACAGGATTTCTTTATCCTATATTAAATGAATAAAAAACAGATAAAAATATCGTAACCTGTATATAAAATATATGAATTTATGGAAATAGTCAATAAACTCACACTTTTCAGAGCCACTTAGAAGTAGGCTCAGGACTTGTAGTGCATATCATCTCATCAAGGAGATATTAGATAAAGCTTTCAGTGGTCACACTTTTCAGGAACTCAGGAACTCAATACTGCTGTTGAAAACAGGAACTCCAGAATCCAAGGTGAACGTTTTAAAAGGTGAGTATTTATTAGCAATAAGTAAAATACAACAAATGTAGCACAACGCGTTTCAACCCCACAATGGGTCTGCCTCAGGTGCTAAGAAAAGTTACACTAATGTGAACATATGCCACTCACGTAATGTAATCTATTTTTGTGGTGTACTTGTGGACTACAATACATAGGGAAGACATCAAGACCAATAAAAGTAAAAATAAGTGAACACGTGAGGAACATCAAAAAAGGTTTCTTAAACCATAGTGTCTCTAGACACTTCTTAGAGAAACATATGTCAGACCCAGGACATTTAGAATTTTGTGCAATTGATAAAGTTAATATACACTGTAGAGGGGGAAATACTGCCAAAAAGTTAAGTATACAGAAATCCAAATGGATATTTGAGCCACGTACTTTGGCTCCTAAGGATTAAATATAGATTTTGAAATCAATCCTATTTTATAAAAATATTTTTTGCTTTTATCTTCTCATCCCTGTATTTTTTGCTCCTTTTTTGTGCACTTTTAATACAAATATTTTATTTCACTGTTTTTATCTTGATATATATTCTTTCAATAATCCTTTTTTTTTTAGAAATATATTTTTTTAAAATAAATTCTGTATTTTGGTGTGCATAGTGATGACAAACATGCCGGCATTGCCACGACAGCAGATGCCGGCTATATTGGGTTAGTAGACATAGGTTACATCTGCACATTTTTTATAATATTCATGCTTGACTCTGGGTTAAACAGTAGCTATGTCAGTGTAATAGACAACATAAAACGTGGAAGACCGGAATGCAGACTGACATTAAGGTTAAGTAATAAAATTACATGCTTAACAGTTTGGACGGCACCCGAGGAAGGTGTTGCCACATTACAAGCTATCAGGAAGGTATTGTCACAAGATGGCCTCTCCATCAAGCTTTGCACACATTAGTAACCGTGGATTTTACATCGATACTTGCACTATTGTTAGTTAGTAAGTGAAGACATATTCAACATAGCTTAATAGCAGGTAGTATATGTGAGTTATAAAGTATGTGCTAAGTAAATGAACATTAGTATGTTAAGAGTAGGAGAGATAACAGTTATACATATACATATCAGTCAGATGTGAGCACATGCTGTTGGCTCTTGTAGGTAGCAAAGAGGGGACTGGATTGTGTCCATTGTGACTAGGAAGGGATAGAGGTAAATAGGCCGTTATCGGGATTTGGGCACCGCAATTTTTGCCTGAGTGGTTAATGTCCCGGTGGGCCGTTCATCCGATGCCTCTTGGTGGGAGGCCGCCACAGCTTGGTTGCCAATGTCCAGCGAGCTTCTTGCACACGACCCTGCAGTTCCGAGTGCCTGGTGCCTTGTCCACTTTTCCTCTCCGCCGGGGGTCAGTGATTAGAGGGCAGGGCGATGTTGCAGTTGCTGTGCTCTGCTGGTGTAGTTGTGGCTTCATCTGCCTCTCGTGTGCTGTGGTGCGGTTTAGATTAGGTTTGTCTGACTTCTTCTTCTTGATTTTACCAAAGTCTTTTTCAAATACTTCTAGAGGTCCGGACTTAAAATTGGATGGATAAAATTTAGATTGGGGCTTAAGATTAGTATTAATTATGGTCGGGGTATTTATTGTAGTCGGGGTAGTGATTGGGGTAGAATGTGTGGAGACTTTTTGTATTTCCTTTTTTCTGTGTATATTATCTTTCATTGTTCTACTTAGCGCACCCTGTATTTGCTGTTTCCTGTTTTCCCAGATTTGTTGAAGGGTTTGAGGATTGCCCTTCCCCTCAGGTGTGCAGCTCTATTCACCCCTGTGATCAGTACTGTAGCGCTGTTCCACCCCATTTTCTTTTCTGTCATAGGAAGTGAAGTATCCGACTTTGCAATACAGACCCGATCCGTCACAAGAAGTGACGCAACAGGAACTACACAATGACTGCGATTTCGCTTGAGGATTCGAAAGATATCCAGTTTGACTCTGCCTTGTAGGAAAGAAGGATCTCCTTCTATGTCCCTTTGTTTTTTAACTATTATATGCTTTCTCTCTATTTGCTTTGAATGTGGATGTCAGGATCCTATCCTGACAACCAAGATACTGTTTTATTTTATTACTGCAATATTTGTTTCACACCTCTAGTGGCCTCCCTAGCCACTAGTCAATCCTCAGTTTCTCTCACCTGCCTCATATGATCTTCCAAGTCTGCTATAAAAGGCTACACCCAACTCATCACATGACCTTTACATTGAGAGAAGTTGTGTTCTACACCTGGCTCTTTCTGATACTTGTTTATGATCTGATACAGACAAAACATCTGTTCCTGGCTCAAACTGATTCCTGATAACCTGCTCAACTCTGATTTCCTTTGATCCATCCTGATTCACCCAATGATCCTGCTTTAATTCAAACTGGACTTTGTTTTCTAACGATTCCTTATTTGCTTTGGATCTAACCTACCTGGACTTTACTAACCATACTATTAACTGCAACTCTCCTGGAAAACCCTGATCCACTTATCTGGTAACTTCAGTACAAATCCTCCAAACTAAAGAGACTGTTCACCTTAACTCAGAACCAACCCAAATTCCATTATCCTTTATTATGCTGTTCATTATTGTCTGACAATATTATGTTTACTTGTTACCTATTATTTCACTGATAGGTTTCCCTTTCTCCTGTAAACCTGCTTTGGGGCATATTGCCTAAACTCCTATTTCTTCTACTACTACTCCTTCATATTTACCTGTAATTCTGTTTCTAGGTTCTGCTTTCTCCCTTTATCTTTATTATTCGTTTTCTCTTTTTATCCTGTTATTCTTTGTTACCTTTGTCTAAACCATAAAAACTAATAACTCAATAACTCAAATAAACACTAATAACTCAAATAAACTACCTGAAGACAACCTCAGCATACGTCTCCTCTCTGACCTGCTCAGTAACATGACAGTGTGATTTTAGTTTCATGTAAAAGGCTAGCAATAGGGCGGGGATATGAATCCGGACCGGAAATGTCGCCATTTTGGTGGTGGCAGAACACGTATCCGGTTTAGACCATATTTGGTGATGGGAGTGTCTTGTATAACGTGCAATTAATTGTTAATTAATGTTTATATATATATATATATATATATATATGTTCACATTAGTGTAACTTTTATCAGCACCTGAGAAAGACCCATTGTGGGGTTGAAACGCGTTGTTACATTTGTTGTTTATTACTTATTGTTAATACTCACCTTTTAAAACTTTCACCTTGGATTCTGGAGTTCCTGTTTTTGACAGCAGTACTGAGTTCCTGAGTTCCTGAAAAGTGTGACCGCTGAAAGCTTTATCTAATATCTCCTTGATGAGATGATATGCATGCCAAGTCCTGAGCCTACTTCTAAGTGGCTCTGAAAAGTGTGAGTTTATTGACTATTTCCCTAAATTCATATATTTTATATACAGGTTATGCTATGTGTATCTGTTTTTTATTCATTTAATATAGGATAAAGAAATCCTGATTCCTGTTACATTGGTTACCACAGAAAAGTATATTGTAAGGAATATTTATGTTTTTCATAAAAAGATGAGGTAATCAATTCCTTATTTTTATTTGTGTGCGCTTATCACCCCTTTTTTCACTTTACACTGTATCTCTATCGCTAAGTATATTTTAGTGACAATATACTTGGGTGAAGCAGCAACACTGTTTTTTCGGTTCTTTCATTCTTGAGCGCCACCTATATTTTGTTTTTTCTGATTACAATCCAAGGTATAGTGCATGCTCGGAGAAGTTCAGCTTGTCAACAAAAAATAAAGAGTCAAACGGAGTAACAAATGGCAAAGAAAACTATTTGTTGTAATTGTGAAATAAAAGTAGGTCAGGGAAGAGGAAAACACACCATGCATATGTATGAAATGCATGTGTATTATATGAAATGTTTTTATGCACTAATAACCGATTGGGAATATACTAGTTCTCTGATAAACCGTTATTATAACCGCTATTTGAACATTTATGTGAAGAAGGCTTGGTGGAAATGTGTGTTTTTTTAAAATAATACTTCTTATTCAATATAGCAATATAACAAAGTTGAGAGGGAAAGATAAAACAACTCTTGTGACTTCTGCGATAATAATTAGACCCCCCCAAAAAAATCTGAAAAAGTTAAAACTATTAATTCTGATAAAATGGATCCAGCCCCAACATAGAAAGGGCTGGATGCATTTTATCAGAATTTAGCAGTTAACAAGCCTTAAATAATGGAGTCCCCCTCTTACCCTTATTACATATGTTACACACAAGATGTATTCACTCAGTGATGAGTCTATCGCGAGGCAAACAAGGCATTTGCCTTGGGCGGCACTTTGCAGGGGGCGGCAAAAAAAGCCACCCCCAAACGCTCAGGCAGATCCCTTGTTTGCCTCGTGTTTTGGGGGGGCTCAAGAGCTGGCCACTTTTGAGCCCCCCTGAGGTGGGCAGCGGGCAGCTTAATGAAGCCAGGAGCCAGAATATGACGTCACTGCGGCTCCTGGCATCACTAAGTGGTGCGCGAGGGAGCTGAGCAGGAAAATCAGAGCTCCCTGGACCGCAGGTAAGTAATCCACTTCAGCTCTCCCAGGGAGGCTGGGTGGATTTAAATAAAAATTTAAAATATAATTTGTGAGTCTTGGTGGAAATGTGTGTGTTTGTGTCTGTGAGTGAATGTGTGTGTGTGTGTGTGTGAATGTGTGTGTGTTTGGGTGAGTGAATGTGTGTGTCTGTGAGTGTGTCTGTAAGTGTGTGTGTCTAAGTTAGTGTGTGTGTGTCTAATTGTGTGTGTGTCTGTCGGACCGTCAGTGCGTGCATCTGTCAGTGAGTGTCCGAGTAATAGTGTGTGTCTGTCTATCAGTGAGTGTCCGAGTAATAGTGTGTATCTTTCAGTGAGTGTCTGAGTAATAGTGTGCGTCTATCTATCAGTGTGTCAAATCAGTGAGTGTGTGTGTATATGTCATTGTTTGTCAGTGTATATGAGAGTGTGTATCAGTGAGGGTGTGCGTCTGTCAGTGAGAGTGCGTCTGTCAGTGAGTGAGCGTCTGTCAGTCAAAGTGCGGCCTTGACAGGAAGGGGTGGGGAAAATTTAAATTAGGGGAGCACAAATCCTAAATACACCACTCTACACCTGTCTACAAAGCAAATATACCTTTTGTGAGTATTCTGCAAGTTTTTTCTCCTGGTTATTAAAGTTTCTCCTGGGAACAACATCTCCATAATCAGCTTTCATTGTATTTAGTTCAACCTGCACTTGAGTTAGATCTTTTCGGGCCACCCTTAATGCAATTGCTAACGTCACAGGGTCTTCTCCATGTTCATCTACAACAAAGATTATAAAAGATTATGACAAATATTGAAGTCAGGAATAATTTGCACTGAAATTTATTTTTTATTTTACACATTTAAAATGTTTTTATCTGCACAGCAGAGTCTGTTACTGGATGCATTAGTATTGGCAATTTTGTACTTGTACATTTTAAAGAGACACTTCAGGCACCAAAACAACTTCATCTAAATTAAGTTGCTATGGTGCCAGGAGGCCCCTGGAGGCACTCTTCCCTTAAGGGGTTAAACCGTTCTTGAACACACACAGGCCATTATTATCAGGTTATGGCAAAGTAGGACATCAAAGGGTAGCTTAACAGCTTTTAAGTACAAGATGCATTTAGTGTCTGGCCTTCTTGATGGTAAGGCCCTGCCCCCTGCCCCATTAATTTAACAAAATCACTTCCTCATCAGTTATATTTTTTACCTGTTTAATTCCCCAAAAAGTTATACTTTTGAGATTTTGATTATGATATATATTTTTAAAATGATAACAGTGGCGTACATACCAGGGTCGCAGGGGTCGCGGCTGCGACCGGGCCCGGCCCACCAGGGGACCCGGCCGCCCCTGCGACCCGGTGTGCACCCACTGGGCCAGCCTCTTCCCCTGGGGGTCCCAGGAGCCAACCACCCCAGGGCCCCCCGAGGCTGGCCCTGCTGACACCAGGCAGGCGGGTGGCCGGTCGGGCAGGCGGGTGGCCGGTCGGGCAGGCGGGTGGCCGGTCGGGCAGGCGCGCGCGCGAGGGAGCACTCAGTGTTTCCTCTTCAGCTCCCTCGCGCACCGCACTGATACCGGAGCCGGAAGATGACGTGCTCCTAATCTCAGCTCGTTACTTGTATAAAAGACACCTGTCCACAGAAGCAATCAATCAGATTCCAAACTCTTCACCATGGCCACAGCCAAAGAGCTGTCCAAGCATATCAGGGACAAGATTGTAGACCTACACAAAGCTGGACTGGGCTACAAGACCATCGCCAAGCAGCTTGGTAAGAAGGTGACAACAGTTGGTGCAATTATTCGCAAATGGAAGAAACACAAAATAACGGTCAGTCTCCCTCGGTCTGGTGCTCCATGCAAGATCCCACCTTGTGGAGTTTTAATGATCATGAGAACGGTGAGGAATCAGCACAGAACTACACGGGAGGATCTTGTTAATGATCTCAAATGATTTAGGAAAACTAGAAAAATGGTGAGAGTTGTGGCAACTGACATTTAATGTGAATAAGTGCAAGATAATGCATCTTGGACGCAAAGACCCAAAGGCAGAATATTTGATACCTTACTAACCTCAACATCTGAGGAAAGGGATTTAGGGTTGATTATTTCTGATGACTTAAAGGTAGGCAGAAAATGTAATAGAGCAGCAGGAAATGATAGCAGAATGCTTGGTTGTATAAGGAGCGGTATTAGCAGTAGAAAGAGGGAAGTGCTCATGCCATTGTACAGAACATTGGTGAGACCTCACTTGTATTGTACGCAGTACTGGAGACCGTATCTCCAGAAGGATATTGTTACTTTAGAGAGAGTTCAGAGAAGGGCTACTAAACTGGTGCATGGATTGCAGGATAAAACTTTCAAGGAAAAGTTAAAGGAACTTAACTTGTATAGCTTGGAGGAAAGACGAGACAGAGGGGATATGATAGAAACATTTAAATACAGCCTCGAAACCTTAATGACTTGGAGAGGATCTGCAAAGAGGAGTGGGACAAAATCCCTCTGGAGATGTGTGCAAATCTGGTGGCCAACTACAAGAAACGTCTGACGTCTGTGATTGTCAGCAAGGATTTTGCCACCAAGTAGTAAGTCGAAGGGGTCAAATACTTATTTCACTCATTGACATGCAAATCAATTTATAACTTTTTTGACATGCGTTTTTCTGGATTTATTTTTTGTTATTCTGTCTCTCACTGATAAAATACACCTACCATTAAAATTATGGACTGATCATTTCTTTGTCAGTGTGCAAACATTTAAAATCAACAGTGGATCAAATACTTTTTTCCCTCACTGTACATATACACACATACACACGCATGCGCACACATACAAACATACACACATACATACATACACATTTTGTCAGAAATATGTGATACTCGCAAGTGCAAACAAACACCAACATATATACATGGTTAGCACATGACACACATATGCAAACCATCAATAAAAGATCAGGATAATATTAAGAAAAGATCCATTCATCTAAAATAATATATATACATCAAATCACTTAATCATCTGATGTATGTAAAATAACTTACAGACTACTATATATCAAACTGAAATGAACACAGTCACTTCTTTGGGTTGTATGCTATGAAATGGGCTCCTGTATATGCTTGAAGCCATAGACTGCTCACACATTCCAATAATAATACGTTTTATGTGTTGAATAATTAAGAGTTAAAATTTGCTAAGAAGTGGTGTTACAGAACCAACTAATTATATAAACTGCATAAATACCAGTTTTGTAAGCTGTTTTCATGGCTTCTTGTTGGTATTTCAACGCATTAATTTCAGCAATAAGGATTTTCCGAGCATCACTCTCATTTCTAAATAGTAAGTACGTATTGGCCATTTCTTCAAGCAGCTTAGACACCTGTGGATAGGTCAAAAGTGATGGAAAAATGAAATATGGTGGGAAACAAAAACAGCACAAATCAAGCTCAATAGTTAATCTGTACAAATCCATGTTTCAATGCAAAATAGAAATACATAGATAAAATATCAGTGCTTGAGCTAGATATGTGGATAGGAAGATTTAATCATAGCTCTTAGAATGAAGGGCATACCATGCATTCACAAAGTTGTCGGTGGAGAGCAGTTTTGGTGTATAGATCATGCCCTTGCAGACTCTCTAATCAATTATCTGCCATTTAGGAGTTAAATTACTTTAGTTTCTGTTTATGCAGCTTTTTTTTTTTTTTGTAAATAATTTTTTTTGAGATAATTACAGATAGAAAATAGTGCTAGTGTACATCGGCATATCCGAGTAAATTATTTCATTGCATGTTGCAAGTAGGTCTGTCAGATAAAGACATATCATTTGATAGAACATAAAGAAATGAGTTTATCTATTCATATGATAAAATGACACTTCATCTGACCGACCCCCAGGAGACATCTCCCAGTGTGGGAAAACGTGTATGTGAGTAACGGGCTAATATACCGTTTCACTCACCACTAACTCCAGTAAGCAGCAAATCTGTTTGCACATATCTATTGCTGTATAGCAGTTTGTACTTGCATTCTAACTTATTTTAATTTGTTTTGTATGTTAATAAATCACCATCTAAACTATCAACTCTACTAGCAAATATGCTGTATGTATTGATAATATTGCATGTTAATGCTGTAGGTTCCCAAGCGACATAGGGCAGAAAGATTGTCCGCCTTTCTCACATCCTTACCTTCAGGTAAGCCACAGAGCTGTCTCACACTAGTACCGATGACTGCTTGGTGTTTGTGTTGGGTTGTGTGCTTAGAAAGCCTGGTAAGTTGCCAAAAGTCTCCTGAGGTTATAGTGTCTGGGATTACTAGTTACTACTTATTACTATGGAGCTCAAGCAAGACGCATTAGTCCACTATGGAAAAACTTCTAGTGGCTGTCAGAGAGATGCCACCTGATTCTGTAAATGCATGCACTCTCCCAGCAACCTCCAACATGTGAAGTGGAGCACTGACCCACTCTGCTCTTCACATAAAGTGCAATATCAATTTTAAAATAAACTTCCCTGGGGCTAATATTCTGCATTACACCAAGTGGGAACCTTGCAGAATTTTGGGAGATATATAGATTCTATTCAGCACAATTCCTTGCTTTCGAAACACAAAATAAATTAAATAAATATATATATTTATACTTGTGGTCAGGGACAATAAGCTAAGTTATATTAGTGGTATAAGTTGTGGTGTGCCAAAACCGACGTTCTGGTAGGCCTGTAAAAAGAGGGCCCACCAAAATTGAATGGTTTGACAAAGGGAGCAGTGGGTGAGCTGAAGCAGGTCAGTATTGGTCGAAAGGAAGAGGTGGCCTGTGTATTTATAAGCCGGGTAGCCCTCCCACAACTTTAGGCACAACTTTCCTATTGTGGTCGGTGACAATAAGCGGAGTTATAGTAGTGGTGGTGTGTCGGTTATGGTGTGCCTAAACCAAGTTTAGGTAGACCTGTAAAAAGAGTGCAAAAGTTTAACAGTTTAACACTTTAATACGTGTTGACATTATGTAAACTATACTTTAAGTGCTTGCCTCAATTCCTTCTCCGGTTAAGGGATGCATCTAGTGTATTCAGATGATCTCCCCATCCCATCCATCAATGACATGTACTGGGATATTCCGTTCGAGACTGCAGAAGGAGCACCTATTCTAAAAGAATGATCTGAAAATTTTGAAGACTGTATCCAAGTAGTTTTATCGTATTGTGACCTAATTTAAGGTTGACGTGGCAAAAGGATTTGAATGCCACCATGGTATCAAATGAGTATGGATTAACGATTAGAAATTCTGAAGTGAATTTTTTTTAAATATTCAGAAATCTAATATATGAATGGTTGTTATTGGCAGAGAGTGCTGCATGTGCCAGCGATCTACCATGGTCATGAGATGAGCTAATGCTATATCAGGTCCTGAAATGTTGGGGTTTTGGTAGATCGTTTGGCAGCTGTTGGGTGTGCTTGGAACAATACCTGGAATTGTGATTGAGAGAAAGTTTTGGGTGCTATGTTGTGGTGGCCTGGTATTTGTATCCGGACAAGGTAAGATTGCTATGTTGCTGCCAGCCAAGTCAAATTCCTTATTAACCTCATTATTGTTAGTGAGGAGGATCAACCTTTATTTATAATATTACATGCTGCTGTGTTTCAGTAGCATTTGACAGATATCCCCTGCACAGAGACCCCCAGGCACGTGTGGTGGGCACGATAGGGTATATTTAGAAGAGAGCTTAAGTTTACCCAAAAGAGGGTAGACTCTGCATCTCTGCAGGCCATATGTCACGGAACCAGTTATTCTTGAAAATGGCTGCAAATCCTGTGCACTGGGGAAACATTTCACGGCACCCCTTTGTGTATCACTGTGGCCAGTTACTTATGTACAAGACAACTACCAGTATTGAAAATGTTGCAGAATGCACCTTACCTAAGAACACAATAGGTCTGCCTAATTTGTATTTAAACTCTTGTGTAGTACGACTCTTAGTGGGCGAACTGGGTTAGAATATAAAATCGGTGGAGTGAAAGTTGGAGGTGACAAAAGTATAATGCTTTAATGCCTGCGAAATGATGGCAGAATAGTTCTGTATAATAGGCTCTGATCTAAACAGGTGTTGAATTGAGCCAAGCTGCGGTCAATTTGGCCTAAAAAGATTAGCAATAGTCATAGAATGTACAACCGTGATACTTGTGCCCCATGTCCACCATTGTATGTAACATAGAGATCTAGGTCTAGGTGTGTAAGGGTGTGTAAAAGAGGACATCTCTATATAGACCAAAGGCCAGAATGGATTCGGGTATAGTCAGTTTTGTTCAGTCTGGGTTCTCTAGCTTGCAAACTACTGACAAATCTCAGTAGCAGTAAACCTAGTTCTCTATGAGGTCTTGGGAGGAAATCAACAAGGAGACCAAATTGATGTCTTAGCCTTCCATCAATGTTAACTAGTGATGTTACCCTGAGAGGATGGAAGTAAGAGGTATGAAGACTTAGGAACTCCTTAGTTAGGAGATTCTAACTTCTCCAGTTTGTCATTATTGTATTTCCCAAGATGTGAGAAATGCTACGATGAAGAGTAAATGTGACAGTCATGCTGGTTATAGTGTAACCCTGCATCAACTGGCGGGTTGTATAGTAATTAGCTAGGCGAGGCCCTACTAAATGCCAAGTGGCTTTGAGGGGCATTAGCTATGAATTGGTAGAGGGACTTAAGCCACCTAACGAAGAGGTGGGAATATTGGCCTCTAGGTGACAAGTAAGAGATTCAAATAAGTGGCTGTGACAGGTGAGTCCCTATCTAATAACCTTGAGAAGTTGGAGCAAGGCTCTAGCTATGAGTTGGGCCAATGGACGAAAACCTCCATGTGAATTGGCTGCTCAGGACTGTTTACACTCCTAAAATATGGTCTGCACCAATACCCTTTACAGCCAGATGATATATAACTTAGGAATGCAAGGGAATAGAAACATAATGAATTGATAGAAAGTATGTTGGAACATATGTATTCTGCCCAACTACTGTGTGGTTGAATGTGAGAAAGGAATATCATAGAGAGGTACCTAAAGACACAATGGGAATGCTAATAAGAATATGTCCAGGACGGTGTAAGTGCTAATTGAGATAAGTGTATAACGTACCTGTGTTGTGGTTAAGGATTAAATCGTCAACAAGAGGATGATAAGAAGGGATAGTAGAAACCAAGATGATAATGGAATTTAGGATTATAAACCTAAATCTCCTATAGTATGTATAAGAAAGATGGGAACAGCTCTAGTTTACTAGCAGGAAGAGAAATATGTGAGATCTAGTAAGTGGTTATGACAAGAGTTGTGGATTAGACAAGGTTTAGGCAAAACCGTGACACACCGAGTAGGCCTGAATATGGTCGAAATCTGTAATAAGGTGTTCAAGGTTCCTGGGAATGCAGAAAGAGGGTGATATAGGAAGGGTAGGCCTAACAAGGTGGAGAGGAATAGTCAACCGTAGTAAGATAGGGTTGTCGTTGACCATTGAAAAGCTGGAAATGTCGTATGTAATTGCCCAAATGAGGGTCCGAAATTGTGTCATAGTGGAATAACCACGGAGGGCCGGAAGTAATGTACTGAGTGCAGGCCTAGTCAGGGCATTGTGTAGAGGTATTGCACCGGAATGCTGATAGTGCCCAATGTAAGTCTTGAGCTGCTGGGTGGATAATAGGCTGTATGAGATGTACGATTATAGCATGAACAAATGTAGGTTAATCGTACCAAGGTTGTAAGAATGGTGAAATAGATTGTGAATTGCATATGGATAGTAGTGATGCTCTGGTATGTTATCTGTTTAAAAAAAATATATATATTTTTTTTATTTTTACACCAAGTGAAGTACTTAAATATAATATACTGTAATATATAACTCCCCAGGTGGCAGAAAGGCCCAAATTAGGTCCTAGCAGTAAACACACCAAGGCTTTTGTAATGAAGGCCTATGAAGCATATGTAGTAAACGCTTAATGAGGGCCATGTGTCAAGGTATAGGAGTAGAAGGCTGAGAGAGCTCATTGCAATTCATGAGTATTGGGGTGGCTACATAAGGGAAGTATGAGAATTAGCGGGTGTATGAAATGATAGGAGTGGGTTCATTAATGGTTGTTGAGGAATTGCAGTTTACATATCATGAAGCAAATTGGCAGACCTGCTCCATTTCATAAAGTGCACATAACCAACTTGACTCGTGAGAGGCCCGTAATGGCAGGTCTGTTAATTTGAGATGATAATGATGAGACATTTGAGTAACATGGTACCACTGATCATAACACATGTATATGTCCTAAAATGATGGTCATAGTAGGTTGCCCACTGAGGGCCATATGAAGCATTTGTTGTGGAAGGCCAAGTGAGGGCCTAATATAAACTTATATGTGTGATAAGCCTAATGAGGGCACAATGTAATTCTACCTAGCTGCAGGGTGGTCAAATTAAGGCCTAATGAGAAGTTACGGGTGAATGATACAATTAAATGGGGTTTAATGAAGGTTGAAAAAATATGAGTAGACCCGTTGCAATTTAGTATGGTTATGGGCAGGGGCATACCTGGAGTATTTGGCACCCGGGACGGATCCTTTATTTGGCACCGCCCAACTTTGAAATGTAAAAAACAACTCCAATCGTAATAAGGGCCTAATATGGACTAAACTGCGCCACCCTAGTTAGTAAAAGGCTGAATGTGAGCTCAATACTCGGACTGAACAAACAAATGGACTGTTTTGTTGTAAAAAATATGTGAATAGCAACAGGAAAAGCCTCAGCTGGGAAGGACGCGGGAGTGCCCTATGAGCTTCGAGGGAGTCGGCTATATGTTTACTGAGGTAAGGTAAAATAAATACTTGCGTAGGCCGCACAAGGCCAAGACCAGCTTGTTTGGAGCTTAGGTAGTTTCTGTTGATGACTTTTGTACCAGAAGTACATGGTTCTGTACTGAACCAGGCAGTATTGGCCCAGAGGAATGGGTGGCCTGTGCATTTATAGGCTGGATAACCCCTCCTACAACTTAAGGTTTCGCTTACAGCCGCAGCCTTTATATATATATATATATATATATATATATATATATATATATATTTATTTATATATTCGTATGTACAAAAGTGAGTACACCCATCACATTTTTGTAAATATTTTATTATATCTTTTCATGTGACAACACTGAAGAAATGACACTCTGCTACAATGTAAAGTAGTAAGTGTACAGCCTGTATAACAGTGTAAATGTTCTGTCCTCTCAAAATAACTCAACACACAGCCATTAAGGTCTAAACCGTTGGCAACAAAAGTGAGTACACCCTTAAGTGGAAATGTCCAAATTGGGCCCAATTAGCCATTTTTTCCTCCCCAGTGTCATGTGACTCGTTAGTGTGAATGGGAAGCAGGTGTCTTCGCTCTCACACTCTCTCATACTGGTCACTGGAAGTTCAACATAGCACCTCATGTCAAAGAGCTCTCTGAGGATCTGAAAAAAAAAGAATTGTTGCTCTACATAAAGATGGCCTAGGCTATAAGAAGATTGCCTAAAACTGAGCTGCAGCACGCTGGGCAAGACCATACAGTGGTTTCACAGTACAGGTTCCACTCAGAACAGGCCTCGCCATGGTCGACCAAAGAAGTTAAGTGAACGTGCTCAGTGTCATATCCATAGGTTGTCTTTGGGAAATAGACGTGCGAGTGCTGCCAGCATTACTGCAGAGGTTGAAGGGGTGGGCGGTCAGCCTTGCAGTGCTCAGACCAGTATGAGGGAGTGTAAGAGTGATAACACCAAATTTAACACACCTGAGACCTTGTAGCACTAATGAGTAACATGACATCGGGAATGGCTAATTGCACCCAATTTGGACATTTCCACTTAGCGGTGTACTCACTTTTGTTGCCAACGGTTTAGACATTAATGGCTGTATGTTGAGTTATTTTGAGGGGACAGCAAATTTACACTGTTATACAGGCTGTACACTTACTACTTTACATTGTAGCAGAGTGTCATTTCTTCAGTGTTGTCACGTGAAAAGATATAAAATATTTACAAAAATGTGTGGGGTTTACTCACTATTGTGATATCCTGTGTGTGTGTGTGTGTATATATATACACACATACACACATATATACAGACATACATGTATATGTATACTCCATTCAGAATGATAGCACTCCAGGGACTTGTATTTAAGATAAAAATAAAACTTAGCTTTTATTTATTTAGAGCCCCCCTCACTTTCCGGTCACCATTACCCCGCGTATTCTCTGACGGAACTCCTGTACTCTGACCGACATAGGCGGTCACCCTAGAGCACAAACACACACGCTGTATATATATATATATATATATATATATATATATATATATATATATATATATACATACATACACACACACATACAGTGCTGTGTGTGTCTGTGGGCACTGTGTGTGTGTGTAAGGGTGCTGTGTGTGCAAGGGTGCAGTGTGTGTCTGTTTGTGAGGGTGGTATGTGTGTGTGAGGGCGCTGTGTGTGTGTGTGAGGGTGCTGTTAGTGTATGTGTGTATGTGTAAGGGTACTGTGTGTGTGTTTGTGAGGGTGGTGGTGGGTGTGTGTGTGTAAGGGTCCTGTGGGTGTGAGGGCCCCTTGTGTGTGTGAAAGGGTGCTGTGTATATGTGACGGTACTCTTACTGTGTGTCTGCTGTGTGTGCATCTTTCCTTTTAGGCAGGTATCATCCCCTCTGCCAATTCAGCTGCAGCCATTCTTCCAGACAGGGTTTGTCCCCTCTGCTTATTCCTTACAGCTCTCTCATTCCAGGTAGGTATCGTCGTCTCTGCTTATGACGCTGTAGTTTTTCCATCAGGCAGGTATCCGGAACACTGCCTATAATGTGGTTATAGCTATTGCTCTCAGGCCTAGCTCTCTTGATTTATCTCAGGGTTAGAGGGAACGTGCAACCAGCCAACAGGTCCGAAGACTCTCATTGGGATCCTTACAAATCCACACAAAACATCCAGTTCCAAAAGGAACTAACATGCAATACTTTATTTTATTTATTTATTTTAACTCGGCACTAGACCATATGATAATTATACAAGGATTGCTGTGACAGTCTTAATAAAATATAAATAACCAAAACATATGTAAAAATCACACAGGGAATTATAATAGCATAATAACATATTTATAAAGGTATGGGGAAGAAAATATCTAACACCAAATCTCTCTCCTGCCTTCAGAATTAGCAATATGCAAATCTACCTGAATATGCAAATTAACAAGCCTTGCTTTACGGGCTTCATAGCCAAATCCATTTAGCATCGGCAGGACAGGAGAGCACAAAAAACAATTTACAGTATACACACACTTGTGTAGACACCCTATAAGAGGCACAGGGTGACTTAGACATAGGAGCCATTTAGGAACCATTGTAAAGTGTCCTTCTGCTCCCAGTGATGGTGACTACCGTTACAATCCCCTTTCCCAACCAGCCAGGAGAGTGGTAATTGGAAGGAAGGTACCCCAGACTATGGTGAACGATTGCTCCCGGAGAGCTAGTGGGCGCCCGCATTCATTTGTCACAAGGAGCTCCCAACAGTTGACCAGCCACAAGCTCATATTTTTGAGCTTTAACCACGTGTACGGTCAGTTAGAACTTTACCTCAGTTGCGATCTGGCTACACTAATGGCATGGCTGTGATTGGCCAGTGCAGCATGTGACCCATCCTCTATATATAAGCTGGAGTTGCGTAGCGCCGCACGCACATGCGGTCTTATTAGTGTAGGGAGAGGATGCTGCCGCTGATAGGGACAGCTTGGGAAAGAATTCTGCAAACTAGTACATTAGTGGGGTGGGGTGCACTTCATATCTGAGAGTCAAATAGAAGTTTCAAATACCACGGTTACATCGGAGTTTTAAAAAGTAAATTTTTTTGGGTGCTAAATAGTACATTAGTGGGGTAGTACATTAATGGGGTGCACTTCATATCTGAGAGTCAAATAGAATCGTCAAATACTGCTGTCACATTTCAGTTATAAAACTTAAAAATTTTGGGTGCCAAAAAGTACATTAGTGGGGTGCAAAATAGAAGCATCTAATAGTGTGCTTACAGCGCAGTGGTAAACATTCTTATTTTCTGGGTGCTAATCTGCTAAATAGTACATTTTGGGGCGTGCACTTCATATCTGAGAGTCAAATAGAAGCGTCTAATAGTGTGCTTACAGCGCAGTTGTAAACATTCTAATTTCTTTGCTGCTAATCTGCTGCTTACATTGGAGTTTTAAAAAGTAAATTCTTTTTTTTTTGGTGCTAAATAGGGGTGTTCACTTCATATCTGAGAGTCAAATCGAAGTGTAACTTTGATTCACATTTACTACATCGGTCACTTGTAATATTGTTTCACACCTACAACGCTTGTTACACAGATCTAAGTGATAGAAAACAGATTGATATTTTCTACACTAGAAACTACCAGATAACAAGCTGCTATATTTAAACCAGTGATCAATAGCTAAGAGGTACTTCAACAATATTGTAATTCTGGAGCAATAGAGGCGCTGGTCGCACAGAGGCACCAGCACAGCATAAGAGGGAGCAGGGTGCAAAAGCGGAGCGGCCGTCCCCTAGCACTCGTCGACATGTATTAGCTTGAGAATTACCAGCTATCCAAGTAATACATGTAGCGATCAAAGGATCCATAATAGACTTGAGCGAACCCTAACTGCAAAGTTCGGGTTCGTACCAGATTTACCGATACATTTGTAGTTTCACAGTGAGGTGGGCAGTCCGGTGACCAGGACCCAGACACTGTCTGGGTGGCGGTCGGACGACCGGTACCCAGTATGCCTGATGTTGAAGTTAGGAGTCACAGTGTGGAATGGATTAGCAGGGTCTGGTGCAGGGTAACCGCACACCCCATGGTGTTGAGCACCAGCGTTTGTGCGGCCACATACCAGGACCCTGATGCAGCTTCAGTAAAAAGAGTACTTGATACCAGAAGCCATCACCAGACTGATCCACAACTTGGAACAGGATGTGACATTCACTGTAGCGGCTGTGCGCACTTTTGGCGTTGTCACCCTGCTGCTGCTCGCCTGTCTGCGCTGCAGCGTAACTTCGGCCTCCCTGCTCACCGCCTCATGAGACTGTGCGAGCAGCAGCAGGCGATAGTGGAGTTTCAGCTGCAGCACGCACGGGTCAGTGGCTCTGCACCAGACTTCCCTCCAATTGATCAGAGTTAAAGGATTTCAAGTGGACTCATTACAATTACAGGGCCTCTAAAGAGTCCTGTATTGTTATTTGTCATCACTACCTTCCCGCGTCGGGAGTGGGTAATTTGCGCGCCTGCTGCCTTTCTTGCATGTGGTAGCCGATTCTTAGGGTCCCTGTACGGAATGGAACCCTGATTCTCCATTACCCGTGGTCACTATGGTTGGCGCAGAAACTGGCATCGAAAGTTGATATGGATGACATCCACATGCAAAGTCGCTGCCACGGGGATGTGCGATTTGCCTGAGGTTCTCTAGAGTCAACAAAGTTCCTGCGCAACTATAATGTCAACAGCTACTCTGCAGAACAGAGTTGTCTTTTTTTATATGTCCCAATATATTGGGGGTTACCCCAATTAAAATATATATATATAAAAACACAGTGTTGGCTACCTCATCCTCCTTCTTTTCTCCATGCATCAGGAGTTGAGCATTTCTTCATGCAGGACTGCACAAATGCACCGCAGGCCGCAAATGTTTCTTTTTTTGTATGTCCCAATATTTTGTGGGTTACCACAATTAAAAAAAAAAACATAAAAAAAACAGTGTTGGCTACCTCATCCTCCTCCTCCACCGCTGGTTCCTCCTCCACCGCCATGGTCACCGCCTCCTCAACCTATGGGTCACTTAGTATAAACTAGGTACACATTAGCAGAGGCTTGTGAAGGCCTTTTCTCCATGCATCAGGAGTTGAGCATTTCTCCATGCATCAGGACTGCAAGAAATGCACTGCAGGCCGCAAATGTTTCTTTATTTGTATGTCCCAATATTTTGTGGGCTACCACAATTAAAAAAAAACAAAACATAAAATACAGTGTTGGCTACCTCATCCTCCTCCTCCACCGCCACGGTCACCGCCTCCTCAACCTATGGGTCACTTAGTATAAACTAGGTACACATTAGCAGAGGCTTGTGAAGGCCTTTTCTCCATGCATCAGGAGTTGAGCATTTCTCCATGCATCAGGACTGCAAGAAATGCACCGCAGGCCGCAAATGTTTCTTTATTTGTATGTCCCAATATTTTGTGGGCTACCACAATAAAAAAAAAAAACATAAAATACAGTGTTGGCTACCTCATCCTCCTCCTCCACCGCCACGGTCACCGCCTCCTCAACCTATGGGTCACTTAGTATAAACTAGGTACACATTAGCAGAGGCTTGTGAAGGCTTTTTCTCCATGCATCAGGAGTTGAGCATTTCCCCATGCATCAGGACTGCAAGAAATGCACCGCAGGCCGCAAATGTTTCTTTTTTTGTATGTCCCAATATTTTGTGGGCTACCACAATTAAAAAAAAAACATAAAGCCGTCTGGATTACGGTGAAACGTGTCCTGGGAACTTTTAGAGAATACTTTCATGCCCATAATATATATTATTATTTTTCATCTTCATTTTTATTGTATGTTATTGGTATCCCATTATGGGAGATTGGTTGTAAGTTTATTGGCCATTATAATTTTATTAAATCTACAATAAAATTTTCACACCTATTTCTGTGGGCTGTCGGTTCCTGCATACAGGAGTCTAGTCTTTCACTACACAACGTGCTGTGACAGAGCCGAAAAAAGAGGCTCTACCTTTGTGAGTATATCGTTTAACATATTATATGGAATTATTGGTTACTGTACTATATATTGGTTTCTATTTGAGTCCTAGTATATACCGTACAAGACCACCCAACCAGAAGAAGGGGAAGGTCGCCTCTACGGACCTACAAGCGTTTATCCCTGAGCTTGGTGTTTAGCTCAGGAGAATGTGAGTGTGTTGTTGTTATCTTGTATGATAATATGTAATATATTGCAGTATCACACTATTGGAGGCCCCATTTATTTTATAGGTGTATTCCGGAAAGAAACATATTCATTTTGAAATTGTTATTGGGAAAAGCACGCTCTGGTCTGGCTCAACCGAATCTTACATATGTATGTAGCGCTACACATTAGCAGAGGCTTTTGAAGGCCTTTTCTCCATGCATCAGGAGTTGAGATCCTCAGACAAGGTTCTCCATGCATCAGGACTGCAAGAAATGCACCGCAGGCCGCAAATCTTTTTTTGTATGTCTCAATATTTTGGGGGCTACCCCAATTAAAATAAAATATATATATATATATATATATAAACAGTGTTGGCTACCTCCTCCTCCACCGCCGCTTCCACCTACACCGCCACTGTCACCGCCTCCTCGACCTATGGGTCACGTAGTATAAACTATGTACACAATAGCAGATGCTGGGGAACAGGCGGGCCAGTCCATAGCATCAATGCCTTCGTCTTGCAGGAACTGCTGACACACTCCAGCCACATGAGGTCTAGCATTGTCTTGCATTAGGAAGAACCCAGGGCCAACCGCACCAGCATATGGTCTCACAAGGGGTCTGAGGATCTCATCTCGGTACCTAATGGCTGTTAGGCTACCTCTGGCGAGCACATGGAGGGCTGTGCGGCCCCCAATGAAATGCCACCCCACACCATTACTGACCCACTGCCAAACCGGTCATGCTGGAGGATGTTGCAGACAGCAGAACGTTCTCCACGACGTCTCCAGATTCTGTCACGTCTGTCACATGTGCTCAGTGGGAACCTGCTTTCATCTGTGAAGTGCACAAGGCGCCAGTGGCATATTTGCCAATCTTGCAATTTGACACGGCACTTACCGCTCAGAGTATTGCTAACTAGACTCTGTCATATCAGATTGACACAATGGTATCAGTCTTTGGATACACTCATTGCACACCAGTTTAGACAGATACTGGTCTTTATCTAATTTTCCATTGTGTATCCTTTTATTTTATTTTGTGCTTAGGGCACCTAACATTTACTTCTCTTGGGGTGTATTTCTGAACCCCAGAGTTGTGTTCCTACTCAGACTCTGTCCGTTTGTTTATTTGTTTTTTTCACTCCCCCTCCTACTGTAAATTACCCTCACTTAGTTTATTTAGCCTTTGACCTGTACACTACCACAATAAGACCACATGCATGGTGGTTGTGGTAAGTGTGCAAGTGCTTTTTAGTTTTACAATAAATAATTTTACAGACTTTTCACTTATTATACATTTGGGACAGATCTTTTTTTCTGCTATTTTGTTAACATCTATATGTTGTTCATATTGTATCCACAGGTTCATTCAAGGACTATTAATCTGTATAAATTGTGGACCCAATCTGCCTTTTGGCAGCTCATCAAGGTTGTCACTTCTAGGTTGGTCACATTATTTTTAGTAATTATGCTATAATCTTCAACCCTCCTCAGTTGTTTATGGTCATGTGCTCTCTGTCCAGCCTTTTCCAGTCACAAGGTAATCATCATTTCGTGGCAGTATTTGATATTTCACCTCGTATCTAGATACTTGGGTAGGTTACCTTATTTGGGTCCACGATCTGGCCCACACATATCCCTACATTCTCAGATACTATCCTACCTTTCTGATCTTTAGGTTGCTGTACCTTACTACTCCCCTTACTCTACTTTTACTGTTGAACCATACTGTCTTCTGCTTTAGTTGTCACAGACAGGCCGCTTCCCCAGCCACAATGTTAGGTGACCTCAAAATCACCTTGGGCCAACGCATAGTTAGAGCCTCTCAAGCCACTTGGCAACTAGCAGGGCCTCACCTGTCACCCCTTTTAGTAAACTTTTTTTGCCACATGGCAATAGCTAGTCTGCCAGTACTAGTTGAGTTTCACACTAATGGTAATTTTATATTTCAGTATGTCTCAGGTTCCCTGAAGTTGCAGAGGAACTGTCCCTTCCCAGCACCCCCACTAGGTCTGGTACTCCTTCCCTAGTCTATCTTCACTCAGATCATGGACTATTCCGCGTATTACTGCTGAGCTCTGCAGGAGGAATATTCTATTCCCGGCTACTGCCAGGAAAGCTGAGTGGTTCAGGCTACTGAATACCACCACTGACAACACTGATGCTGGGGAAGGTTCTAGTGGTTCCCAGCTGCCTGATGTCCATGCCATGATGACCTCGTTGTTATCATCTATTGGACTAATTGACGATAGACTGGAGAAGTTGGAGCTTACTTACTAGATTTACCGATCCTATCCCGGCTGGATCATCAACATCACTCCCGGGTAATTCTCTGGTTCCACTGAAAGTCCCTGAGGTGATTAACCCATATATTTGCGGAAATGTTGTGCTCTTTGCTACTTAATGTGTGCAGATTCTTGACTGTTATACACTATTTAGACAATTTCATCACAATTAAAGACAACGCCCAAACCCCTTTGCAGTTTCACAGCAATCTGTCTTTTTGAGTCCCTGGGTATACTGGTCTCCCCCAAAAAAGACAGTAGGTCCTGACACGGTAATACATTTTCTGGGTATTCAGCTAGACTCAGTCAACATTCAGTCCTTTCTTCCTCATGATAAGATTGAGTGCACCCTCTCAAGCATTGACCTATACTTGCAATTAGGTTCTTGCAACCTTAAAGAACTACAGTCTCTGCTTGGTACGCTCAATTTTGCCATGAGGGTTATCCCACAAGGTAGATCCTTTATTTACAGACTACTCTGTTTGTTCCCTGACCTTCCCTCAGACAATACCCACATCCCATTAGACCCACAAGCGACGGCTGACTTACTGATGTGGCGCAATTTTCTCACGACATTGAACGGGAAAGCAATGTTTATTCCCCCAATCTCCGACCATTCCCCAACATTCTGGACAGATGTTGCGGCCAATTCGGGTTTCGCAGCAATCTGTGGCAATCACTAACTCGGGGCTCTTTGGCCTAATGAAGTCAAGTCCCTACCAGGTTTTTCCAAAACATTGGCCTTATTCGAGCTATATCCAATAGTAACTGCAGCAATTGCCTGGGGTCCTGGCTGGGCAGGTCACTCGGTCATATGCTTCTCAGACAACCTACCTACCTGTCAGATTGTAAACAAAGGCCGGTCATCATCTTTGGTCATTATGTGGTTCTTGAGGAGACTCACTTGGGTGGCGGCCAATTATCATTTTTTTCTCACTAACGTATCGGCTTATCACCTGTCTCGTTTTTGCTTGCAGGCATTCCGCAAGACTCTGCTCACTGCTTCCTGTCTTGCTACTTCTGCCCCACCATTCCGCCCCTCCTTTCCGAGACATGTTAATGGATTAAATGTTTTATTATCACACAAAACAGAATCTTACCGAACTAGCACTCTCGGTTAACACTAGGAAATCTTATGATAGGGCTTTCACTAAATTCAGAGCCAATTTTCAAATTCATGACTTGTTTGCTATGGAGTCCTTATTGGGGTTTACTTCCTTTTGACACCTTAAGTTAAAATTATCATTTAACACTATCAAACTCTACCTAACGGGCATTCAACATCACAGGCTGATACAACACCCTAACAAAACATGATTCCTATCATCCTACCAAATTAAAACCTTACTGAAAGGAATCAAAAAATCTGACACAACATTATCTCCTAAGACACTACCCATCCATAGCAAACTGTTCCAATCACTATCAGATTTATTAGACACTGTGACGGACCCGTTGGCACTCCAACCGAGTACCTCCGTCAATCGATGCTCCTAGTGCTTGCCGAGGACTCCAAGCACTCCAACCAACACCATCAGCACTGCAGACTTATCCCATCCCCCAACCACAAGCCAAGGCTTCAAGAAAGGGTCAAGCAGGTCTGTTTAATGAGCACACAAAAGCAACAGCACTCATGCAGCAAAACAACTCCTCCTCAGAGGAAAGCAAAAAGACCGTTAAAAGGGTCAGACAGAGTTTGAAAATATGACAGTTATTAAGGGTTTAAACTGGTGTTCTAAGACGAGGGGGGAATAGAACAGTCAAACTAAGTCCATAAAACAGGGGTTTTCTTCACACTCTGCATCCGAAGTGCATAGCAAAACTGCAGATCCTTTGTCAGAGCATTTAAAGGGCCAGAACCAGTCTAATAAAATCCACTATGCCCAAATGGCGTATTTAAAGGGCAAAATCTTCCAGGGGCCATAGTCGCAGGGCAGGAGGCTGGCAATTAGTCCTCTCCAGGGACAAGTGGCTAAGGGCCCTTCGTCACACATCTTCCCATTGGGGGGGAGACTAACCAGGTACCTGACCTTCTGTCGGTCAGTACCTGAGTTAGTCGAGTGGCCCACCCACAACAAACAGTTAACAGAGGAGCCCACCCACAATACACCATTACTGCCCCTGGTGATTTCTGGTGTCCGGCTCTGGCCTGTATGTCCCAGGTTGCTGAGGGGAACTAATGGGCAGAGGCCAGCAGTGCTCTGTCCGAATGCCAGCTCTTTTGCTGGAAGGGGGTCAGTGGAGGCTAACATCTTCTCTACTAAACCCAGTACCGGGTTAGGGGTTGGCTGTGGAGGGAAGGGGTCGCCTACTTCCTCCTCCTGGTACTGCTGCTTCCGATGGGGAGCGAGACCGGTTGTCTCCTCTCCCTGAAGCTCACACTGCCGCTGGGGAGAGAGCCCGGTTGCCTCCTCTCCCTGGGGCTCCAACTGCAGTTGGAGATCTGGGCCAACTGCCCAGCATCCCTGTAGGGCCGGTAGATAGACCTCTGCCCCATCTCCACCTGCCATTTGAGGTTCCTCCCAGTGCCAGTTTATGAGATCCCCCAGGACTTGGGAATAAGGACCACCTGCCTCCACTATCTATAGCTCTGGCTGTAACTGGGGATATGGGCCGGCTGCCCAGCATCCCTGTAAGACCAGTAGAGAGACCTCGGTCCCATCTCCACCGGCCATTTGAGGTTCCTCTCAGTGCAAGTCTATGAGGTCCCCCAGGACTTGGGTATAAGGACCACCTGCCTCCTCTGCCGGTAGCTCCAGGTGCAGTTGGGGATCTGGGCCGACTGCCCAGCATCCCTGTGGGGCCGGTAGAGAGACCTCGGTCCCATCTCCACCTGCCTGTTGGGGTTCCTCACAGGACCAGTCTATGAGGTCCCCTACTTCGGGTACCTCCGGCTGCCTCTGGGGAGAGAGGCTAACCTCCTTTCGTTGGAGGCTTCTTTTCCTCGCTTTAGCCAGCAGGAATTCTTGGTCCCTCTTTGCTTCTCTTTCGACAGTTACCTGGTTCCAGATCGCCTGGTAGGTATCCATGGACACATCAGGGCCATACCAGGCCACTCGCTGCCTCACCTCAGCCAGAAAATCTTCGCAAGAGTCAGCGTATGCCATACTTGCTTGCTCCAAGTCAATGGGCACCTCTGCTTCCAGGGGCGCTGCACTCATGCTAGCATTGCCCGAATGCTAGCGTTGCCCACGTTACCGGTGTCTCTGAGCTGCTTCTCCTCACACTAGGACGCCATCCCATCGCTTGCCACCAAATGTGACAGTCCCGCTGGCACTCCGACTGAGTACCTCCGTCAATCAATGCTCCAAGTGCTTGCCGAGGACTCCAAGCACTCCAACCAACACCATCAGCACTGCAGTCTTATCCGATCCCCCAAGCATTAGCCAAGGCTTCAAGCAGGTCTGTTTAATGAGCACACAAAAGCAACAGCACTCATGCACCAAACAACTCCTCCTCAGAGGAAAACAAAAAGACAGTTAAGAGGGTCAGACAGAGTTTGAAAATATGAGAGTTATTAAGGGTTTAAACTGGTGTTCTAAGAGGAGGGGGGAATAAAACAGTCAAACTAAGTCCATAAAACAGGGGTTTTCTTCACACTCTGCATCCGAAGTGCATAGCAAAACTGCAGATCCTTTGTCAGAACATTTAAAAGGCCAGAACCAGTCTAATAAAATCCACTATGCCCAAATAACGTATTTAACCCCTCAAGGACACATGACATGTGTGACATGTCATGATTCCCTTTTATGCCAGAAGTTTGGTCCTTAAGGGGTTAAAGGGCAAAATCTTCCAGGGGCCATAGTCGCAGGGCAGGAGGCTGGCAATTAGTCCTCTCCAGGCACAAGTGGCAAAGGGCACTTCGTCACACACACGTCACCTTTTAAACCTGTCACCAATATGGTTATTAAAACCGCCATATACCTAGCCTTTTACGGATTCCTACGACCAAGAGAGTTCACCTCTGTTAATCTAACTTCCACAGTTTACAGTACTTTAAATATCCAAAAATCTATAGATTATTACATCCTTTCACTTCCCCACTCTAAAACCAGCCAAGTGGGAGGCCCGGCTGACATACCCTTCTACCCTATCTATAACAAATGGTGCCCAGTTAAGGTTTTCGATAAATATTTCAGCAGCATTCACAAACAACCACACCAACCACTACTAGCATTACACTGTTCCACACTCACTACTGCCACATTTATGCTCTATGTGCTATTGACAAGGCTTGGCCTTAATTCAACTCACTACTTAGGCCACTCTTTACGCAAAGGGGCATCATCATCTGCTTCCTCCAATTACATTTCAGCACATATCATCAAGGCATTATATATACCAGAACTGATTAAAGAGATTCATCAAGCATTTTGTGACTTTAAAGCATTTTTGCCATACTTATTTTTGCACTGCACTCATTGCATCGTCCCCCAAAAGCCTTCTAATCATCCAAATAGTTTCAAAGGAGGAATGTTCAAAATAAACGCAAAATCTGATGCAGATTTGTTGCTCTACTTGGTTGCCAGGTTATATCGATAATGATTTCGTTAAAGTAACAATGGCTGTACTTCTTCCAGGACAGACCATATAAATATATACACACACACACACACACACACACACACACACATATATATGTATAAAAACATACACACACATCCCACACATGTATATGCTTACAATTACATATAATATTTATAAACAATAAATTAAACAAATAGGTTACCTGCATTTGCAAAGAGTTATTCTCCTCTTTCATTTTCTCGATAACATTCAACAGATGATGTTTTTCCATTTTCATATTCTTTATTTCCAGTCTTTCTTCTTGATGCATGGCTTGTATCTTTTGATCACATTCTTCAGATACTGACACCAGCATTGTTTTTAAGGATTCCAAAGAGCGTATTTGCTGTCTCTGGTGTGCTACATAATAGTAAAATAAACAGAGATAGATTAGACCCATGTAATGAGATTGTGTTTGCAAAAACTACCACAATATGTTTTGCAACACATCTATACCACATTTCTCAACATTGAGAAGCATGTAAAACGGGATGGGTTGGATGGACGTAAAGGTGCTGGCTAGCGATGTGAAATGCATCACTAGCTTAACCCAAAGGGACAGACATTCTAAAGTAGGGTCATATCAGCCTGGCAAATGTGCCAGGCTAAATGCCAGTCAAGTTGGCCAACCTCATTAAGGTCTGAACATAGAAAGAATGTTGGTACAGTGCCGTAAGTGTATCGCAAGCTCATCTAATGATTAGCTTTTGCTACACTTTCTGGGAACAATTGCCTGGTTCACACAAAAGTGGGACACAGAGGAAAAAACCTGGAACATGACCACAAATTTGGGACTGTCCTGCCGGATTCAGGACTGTTGGGGGGCCTGTGTAACCATTAGCTTAGGTTAAAGTCTATTTGTCACATCCCAGTACTTTTACACTGTATTTAACGTGTGCTTTTTAAAAAAAAATCTTTATTTTTGTAGTGCATGGAGGTATAACAATGAGTATGCGGTGCCCCAACGGCATTCCTCATGCTTTTCAAGTAACAATTGTAACAATAGGGTATATGTGAATACGTGCACATTTTATATATGTTAAATTATTATGAGGCTTGTCAGTCAGATTCAACAGCTTGGTGGTGTTTCAACAGGCTTAGACAATGTAGGAACATCTTTAAATTTAAACAGGCTAAGGCTTACATCTTAGTGAATACGTTATAATACGCAGTGGGTGAGTGTGTATATTTACATTCAGATAATTTTTGACAGCTCAATTTCAGTTTTATAAATAATAAATGAAAGTTAGCAAAGTTGAAGCTATGTAACTACGTCTGTCTCATTGCTTTACTGTATCGGATAATAACAGTGGCTTAATATTTACGTAGCGTGTCATCGCTTTACTATCTAGACCTCGTCTTGGTTATGCTTGACAGTGCATAAGTGAGAGGCATACATTTAATGTAGCAACTGCTGGATTAAGGAGTGGGTAAGACAGAAGGTTTGTGTTTCAGATTATGATAGGGTAAACTATGCTGACTACCGAGGAACATGTAATGCCAATAAGGTTTCATCGTTACTAAGATTCTCATTAAGACAAGGTGCCACCAGGCAGGGCATCTTACATTCCGGCATTACCTTTATATATATACAGCTTAACCACAACTAAACTATGTACAAGGTTGTGTGCAGAGGGTGTGCAGGTTATTCTGTGCTATCTGATGTGGTTGGTCGTGGCAGACCATGCTTTATGCTACTTATTATGAATGGCTGGGGTCACCGCCAGCTCCATCTCGGCGCAAAGCATGAGATAGTTGAGTCTTACACAAGTGGAAAAAGGTATTTCAATCATCTTGCTAAAAAAAACAAACAAAAAAAAACCAACAAAAAAAAAACATTTTAATATGTGGGATGTGTGTCCTAGTGTGGTGTGCTTTGTCGAGTCTGGTTAAAACGATAAACACAGAGCTCAAATTAACTTAAAGTCACAAAGCGAAGTAACTTGGGGGCCGTTCCAGTCTCCCTTGGTCTCTATCAGAGCGTCTCTCGGTGAGGTGTAAACGGGATAATTTTGCTTGGGTTCCAGGTATGCTTGTGTCTGGATTCAGGTTGTTGCTGAGGGTTGATTAGAATGTCCTGTGGCAGTCCCATAGCCCTCAGGAGTGTGTCTGCCTCTCGTAGGTCCTGGATTTGATGTGTGGTCTCTCCATGTATGATCTGAAGCATGTGGGGCATTCGCCAGCGGTACTCAATGTTGCGCTGTTGGAGCATGGATGTGAGGGGCTTGAGCGACCTCCGCCAGGCCATTGTGCTGCCGGACAGGTCATTATAGAATTCCAGAGCCATGTTTTCAAAGCGATAATTCGGCCTACCCCTGATTGCCTTCAGGATCGCCGCCTTGTCTGTGCCGTGCCTGAATTGAATTGTCAGGTCACTTGATGTTGACGGTGGGGCTCTGGCCGGTTTGGGGATTCGAAAAAGCCCGTCCAGGGGTGTTGCTTTCGCCTGTTTTTGTGGTAGGAGGTCCCCCATCATTCTCCGCACCAAGTGTGGCAGCTCCGCTTCGGGGACAGTGTCGGGCACCCCCCGGAGTTTCAAATTATTCCTCCGCCGTAGATCTTCTAGGGTTGCAAAGCGGCATTCGTGGGTCTGGTTCTGCCGCTGGAGGTCCTGCACCGCTTTCTCCAGCACCTGTATACGCTGAGAGTCCTGGTGAGTGGCGGTTTCTAACTTGTCGATTCGGCCTGTCAGTCCCTGCAGCCCTCCCCTGATTGTGGCAATGTCGGCCTGCAGGGTGGTCTGTAGGTTGGCGAGGAGACCCTTTAGCGCCGATAGTGTGACCGGGGATGTGTCCGGTTTCGTCGGCGGGGGTTTAGCCGGCGTGAGTTCAAGTGTTTCTTCTTCGTCCGAGGCCAGGTCATCCGAAAAATCGAAGCAACCGCCCGACTGGTCGGCCATCTTGGGCCCGACCGCGCCATGTGCTAGGCGCCACATTTCTCCGATATTTATCCCAAGGTGAGGTTGATCTTGCTTGGGTTTTTTGGTTTTGCGTCCCATAGTCGTCAGGTGTACAGGTCCGACGTCTGGGGTCTCGGTATAGCAGGGAGTGACCCTGAAAATTGCGATTTTGTCCGCTTTTGGAGCTGCAGTGTCGTGCGACTTCTCTCTCTGGTGGATAGCTTAACGTGTGCTTTTGACATCTAAATATATAAAATAATGCAGAAACCCACACCACTCTATAGATGTACAAGTAATTCATTTTCTGAGCCATTTCTGAAGACACTTTCACATCTTCATTAGAAGAACCAACCAGAATGAAAGCTTATCTGGACCTGGCAATAATAATAACGAATAATATTGTATTTGAAGTAAGGGAACACTGGGAAAATAGCAGCAATTAAATGAAGATCAATAAAAACAAAAAGCAAAACAAAGACAGGCCATATGGCATACAAGACTTAAAAATCCTGACATCCATGGAGTAAAAATGCAGCATTAACCTCTTCAATACCATGCACTTTTAGATTGAAGAAATATTAGCATTAAATTAGTTTGAAGCAAGGGATGCATAGCTAGAATATAAATGTAGAATGCAATTTTATGTGTCTAACTCAGAGGACAAAATTACAAAAAATGTAAATTATGTAAACTCATACAATTTTTATTTATTTTGTTATATTCAATTTAACAAGTTTTATTCTTTTTGTTTTTGTTGAAATGGCATTCATGGAAATTATACCATCATTCTTTAAACATCTCGTGGTCACTACTCTATCCTAATTCTCCTTGACCTGTCTGCAACTTTTGACACTGTTGATCCTCAACAGTTTCTTCTCATCCTCCGCAATATCGGTCTACAAGATCCTCCCTCAAGTGTTGTTACTCCTGTGTCTGACTCCCTCCAAGTCTACGGTGCTACCATCAGCTTCACCACGCAGGCTCGCTGCCTAGGTGTTCTCTTTGACTCCGACCTCTCCTTCAAGCCTCATGTTCAGTCTACCGCCAAATCCTGTCATTTCCATCTCAAAAACATTGCGCGCATCCGATCCTACTTAATGCCAGATGCGACTAAGGTGCTGGTCCATTTCACTGTCCTTTTTCGCCTTGACTACTGTAATCCGCTTCTCAGTGGTCTTACGTGCTCCCAACTTGCGCCGTTACAGTCCATAATGAATGCGGCGGCAAGGCTCATCCTCCTGTCCGCCTGCACCTCCCACGCCTCACCCTTCTGTCAGTCCCTACATTGGCTTCCTGATATAGGGCTCAATTTAAAATTCTGGTTCTTGCTTTCAAATCTCTACATAATGCTGCTCCCACCTATCTATCCTCCCTAATACACAAGTATGTCCCGTCTAGGCCCTTACGATCTGCTGAAGACTTACGTCTATCTTCTGTCCATACTCCCACCTCTGATGCTCGCCTTCAAGACCTCGAGGGCTGCACCATTCCTGTGGATTTTGCTTACCTCCTCCGTTAGATGCTCACTCAGTCTCCACTCCTTCAAAAAAATCATTAAAAACCCACTTCTTCATAAAAGCGTATCAATTAAACTGTTAATAGCTCCCAACTGATTACTCTCTTGCAACTGTCACTAGTCTAATACTATCCTTACCATTTGTGTCACTTTACCCCACTCCCTCTAGCATGTAAGCTCATTGAGCAGGGCCCTCAACCCCTCTGTTCCTGTGTGTTGAACTTGTCTGGTTACAACTACATGTCCGTTCGTCCACCCATTGCAAAGCGCTGCGGAATTTGATGGCGCTATATAAATAATAACATAATAATAACATAATAATAAACATCTTTCACATTAGTGAAACACAGTTGCCTTAAATCAGAAGCCCTTTCTAATTCTAAGGGGATGTTTCTAATTGCCACATTTGCGGCATACAGGTAAAATTTCATTCACAACATTATCCAGACAGGAAAATAAAAAACACAGAGATTGTTAAAAGGAACATAATAGAGTGTGGGTAACAGAAATTACATGGGGAAAGGGTATAGTGGTAAGTGACATTTTTAACATTTCTTCTTATACGTAACTATGTGTTCATTTTATGATCTGACCGTTAAAAAAATTTAAAAAATAAAATATATATATATCATTTTTGGAACTAAGTTTGTTCAACATTTATAAAAAAATATTTAAAAAATTGAAAGTTTTAGAAAGTAAACATTTTCCATTATCTTGCAATATTTCATACGATGCTTGAAATGTTAGTATAAAAGTAAAAACTAAATTTTTCTCACAATCAGTAGGTGTAACAAAAATAGATAAATAGAAATGGTCAAATACCTTGGCTCATAGGTCACAGGATCCTCAAGTCATTAAAGTATAGTGTATTCAAAATGGCAACAGAATGTAAACAGAAGGT